CGCTTTTGCATAAAACTGAATAAGTCATCCAAAAATTCCTTCCTTTTGGGGTCCCCGTCCAATTCATAAAGCTATACAAAGAGAACAAGAGAGAGAAAATGGTTACAGTCTAGGAAACAATATGTCCAACTGTCTAGCATCACCTAAACGTTAGACCTATCATCGCAAATATAAATAGACTTCAAATAAAAAGAAGGCAAAATGGATAACCGCTACTCTGCCGTTTGTGAAATTACATTCTACTGCACATGCGCAGACTCCTCAGGGAGGCAACGCCACTGTGCCAAAGTTTATCAGTGTAAATGATCTCAGCCAATCCAATGCCTGCACATTAACAACAAAAATGTTCCACCAATCAGATGCGCTCTGAGACTGAATGAATTACATAGTTACATAGCTGAAAAGATACTTGCTTCCATCAAGCTCAGCCTTCCTCACATATGTTTTTGCTGTTGATTCAAAAGAAGGCAAAAAATGGATGCACATGGCCCCCAGATGTAATAGTTTGGGTGCTTAAAATGTTCCTTTAAACTATAGATGCATTTATAGAATCAGTACCTTAGAAATGTCAATCAAAAAACCTGTACATTATTTAATACATACAAAATCAATAAAACAAAGAATGGGTACGCCACACGGAAAGCCGAAACGGATAGTGAATATCCAAAAATCAATTACCAATGAGACACTTCTTTATGAATTTTGTAGTTAGTTAATTTATTCAGCACAGGTGTCTGGGCATTCACTTTATTTGATATGCATGGTTATTGATTTATGAATATTTGAAGAAACAGACATTTTTGCATCACACCAATTTGGATCCAGCCCCATTAGATTTACGTTTCCAAAACACATTAATAAAGCTCCCACATAAATAAAATTAAAATAACTTATTCTTTTACTTATATTTACCCATTTCACCAATGTATTTGTATTTATTCTCCTAAACCTAAGCTAGGTGTTTGAAAGTTCTGTTTAGTGCTCACGGGAACTGGTGTTACAAGTTAGGTTTTAGCTAGTGGTTATGGTAGACAGGCTTGGATATAAGGTCGTGTCATATCTCTAGCAGCCTTAGTTACATCCTGTAGCACAAATCATGGTTTGACCAGAAATCACGTGATTTTTTAAATCAGATTATTCAATGAGCAAAAGTGAAATTTCGCTTTCAAAAGTCAAGTATTGTCGTCCCTGACTCCATAGGGATTTACTGAACTTTTCCTCTCAAATTTCAATTCAATATCCTCTAGTTGCGAGCTGTAGTAGAAGGTGAACAGGTAACATACAGCTAAACTCAGAATATACATGAACCAAGTGCAGTTCTCCTCTACATGTCCTCTACAAAGCCATTCATTCAGACTCATCTATCCATACACATTGATCCCTGGCACCATCAACATCCATCAGCCACTGCCAACCAAAATGTCAGTATTTTGACAGGCTTTTAGGGAGGTAAACTCCATCTACCTGTGCCTTAAGCTGAGCTATACTCAATTTTTCTTTCCTTTACTGCTGCTCACTATTTTAAAACTTTGAGGCCTCCATTCTTTTCACAGAAGAGTTAATTTCTGATGGACTTATTAACCCCTGCTCAACGTTATGGCGTGCTAGGCTGTCCTACCAAAGGAAGGAAGACTTTAATGCCATTAGGTTGCCATTAACCCCCCCCCCCACCCCCCTGCCCTCTATCCAAGTAGGCTGCACTCCTCTGAACATGCATCAATTAAAAGGGTGCTGCTGGAGCCAATTCATACAACACACAAGATTCATCGTACTCATAAATTCACTAAATTGCAAATTCAAAGCTCATGGGTGATTAGGTTTTTGTTTTTTTTAAAGAAAAACCTAACCTAGGCAAAAATGAATGGGGGGGTTTAGTTATAGTATACAGGGATGCGCAATTTGTATGGCCAGACGCCCGGGACATGCAGTTCCAGGCGCCGGGCAAGTAGTTATGTTATGCAGCGGAGTTTAAGGGAAAAGTAACTAGTCGGGTCCTCCCACCTGCCCAGAGAGCTCTTCCTGTCACCAGTCACCCCCTCCTTCCCTCATGCTGCCACCCGTCACCCCCTTCCTCACTCTGCCATCCCTACCCACACTATGTGTCCTTCCAATACTACATCACTATCACCCCACGCACCCTACATCCCTATCCCACGCCACACAGTGCCCTATACATCACACACACACACACACACACACACACACACAGCCTCCCTATCCCACCCCCCACTGTATTCACAAAGACCAATTTTTAAAAGGGAGCTTAAGGCACCAGAGCCACTACAGTTTAATGTAGAGGTTCTGGAGCAAAGAGATTGACCCTGTAGGCTCAGCAGTGTAAGCACTGCCTTTACTGTAACCAAGCATGTCAATAAATATAAATGTACTCACGAGGTTGCCTAGTTCTATTTTTTGATAAAGTAAGCTACAATTCTCATTTGGAATTGATTCTGTTTATGTTAACTACCTACTTGCATTTGTTAATTGCATTGAAATATTAATAGGTATGTCTCCTAAATTACTATCAAGTGTATTTAGTGTACCCTCTCCCCTCCCAGGACCTTAATGTACCCTCTCCCCTCCCAGGCCCTTAGTGTACCCTCTCCCCTCCCAGGCCCTTAGTTTACCACTCCCCTCTCTCTCCCCCTTAGTGGTCCTCTCCCCTCCCTGGTGTGTCTCATTACCTCTCTTGTAGCGTGGCCGAGCGGAGCGGAGCGCACCGCACCGCGGTACACAAGCTTTAGTTTCCTGTACCGGCCATACTGACAGCAAAATGCTCCCTCAGTGAGCACTTCCTGTCAGTCTGGCCAGGTACAGGAAACTGAAGCTCCTATACCGAGGTCTGCTCTGCTCCACTCGACCACGCTACACTGAGCAACTGGTAGGGGGACATCACTGAACACAAATGAGCGTTTTAGTACAGTAAAAATGTATAAGGACGATGATCCCCCCCCAAAAATAGATATGAATACTAACTTTGGCCAGGGTTTTTAGCGTAGTGTCTACTGGTGTGCCATGATGGGGGTACTTTTTATTTCTGGGCTTCCATACGTTCTCAAAGGCAACATAGGCCCAACAAACCAATCTGGCAAATTTCAATATGTAAAAACTGAAATGGGTAAGCCTATATTTCACCCTGTAACTTTCCAAAACACTATGAAACCTGTAGATGAGTGGCATTGTTGTATAATATTATAAAAATATTTGATGTGAAATGAAAGCCCTATTCGTCTGGATCAAAATGATATATAATAAAGTGCACTTAAAGGAACACTATAGCTTTAGGAATACAAATATGTATCCCCAACACTATAAGGGCCCCGTTCCACGACAAATAAATGGTTAATTTGCCATTTATTTGCTCCCTAGGCACTATTGACCTCTCATCCTCCATCAACATCAGCTCCCGAGTGGAGCCGAATGTGCACGCGCGGCCAGAGGCACGCATGCGCGCATTCAATCCCACCCATAGGAAAGCATTACTCAATGCTTTCCTATGAGGATCTTTTTTGACTCTGGAGGTCCGTGACTATAGTGTCCCTTTAAGTGTGATTTACTCAGTGTAAATCGCTGAAGTGCCCTTTAGTGGCTGTCAGGGAGACAGCCACTAGAGCCTGGATTAACCCTGCAGTGTAAACATAGCAGTTTCTCTGAAACTGCTGTGTTTCCAGCTGCAGGGTTAACAATAAGGGGACCTGGCACCCAGACCACTTCATTGAGCTGATGTGGTCTGGGTGCCAATCTTTAATATGAAAGAAGTGCTTTATGGTTGAACAAATAGCTCAATTTCTAGGTTTTATTTTGGTTCAGAACTTTGACAATTGCCTCTGTCCTTAACCCCTTAAGGACACATGACATGTGTGACATGTCATGATTCCATTTTATTCCAGAAGTTTGGTCCTTAAGGGGTTAAAGGGACACTATAGTCACACAGACCACTTCAACTCAATGAAGTGGTCTGGGTGCTAGGTCCCTTAGGTTTTAACCCTTCAGATGTAAACATAGCAGTTTCAGAGCCGGCGGAGGAGGAGAGGTCACCAGCGCCGAGGGAGCCTGGCGCTGGATAAAGGAAAGTGGTTGAAGTGGTTTTAACCCCTTCAGCGCCAGAGGAGGGGATCCCTGAGAGTAAGGGGGTCCCAATGATGATATAGTGTCAGGAAAACAAGTTTGTTTTCCTGACACTATAGTGATCCTTTAAAGCAGCACTGTTATGCCGAACTTACCTTTCCCCAATCGCCAACTCTTTTCTCTACCTCTCTCAGGATCTGTTCTTTTTTTCCTATCTGCTCTAGTCTTCTTTAAAACATAAGACAAAGTAGGCACTACTTTGTCATATGTATTTTTCCTACGCTTAACAAGCTTTGACCCACTTCCTATGTGTCAGAGAAATTTTCCCACAATACTCACCCATTCCTCTGTGATCTTTCCTGTCATATAGACAGGACACAGTCGAAACTACCGAATTTCGCACTAACAGAATGAGAAGTTTGTTCATTCATGTTAGGACGACATTCGGTACTTTTAGTTCAGTTCGGAATTTCATTCGAATTAATGAAATTCCGATTCATGCTGGGGCTGCATCTTGCAGCCGCTTAGTAGATAACTACCTAATTCCCATGGTATTAAAGAGCTATATACCAAAAGGCTGAAAGACCAACACTTGTCTTTCAGCCAACTTTACTAATACCAAGTAAAAATTACTTAGTATTAGTAATTAATCTGCTCCTACTCGCTATATCGCGAGTAGGGGCATTTCTAGTAAACAGTGTGGGAATAAATGGCCCAATGGTGGTGCATCCATTAACTAGCGGGGGTGACATTAGTGTCCCCCACCCGTGGGCTAATTAAGTAAACGAGGGACATAAGGTCCCCCCTCGGTGGGTGTGGGCCCTAAATGACAACGGGTGGGGAGGGGGCCTATTGTTCTCCCCTCCCCCAGGGGGAGCTTTTTAAAAATTATTTTTACAACTGGTCACTGTTTAGCAAACATGCCCCTACTCGCAGCGTGGTGAGTAGGGGCATTCAGGAGATCCCAATTTCTCTTATGTTAATATGGGGGCCACACTGACCCCCATAGAGTGAGGGTGGGCATGGGGGCTTAGGAAGTGGCGGGGAGCACTGCTCCCTGCCGCTTCTATTTTCACATGTTATAAGGAGGGAGCTGCAACGAAACGAACAAACGACATTCGAACAATGTTTGTTCGTCTGACATTTTTATTCATTCGTCTTTCTGACGAATTAATTGACGAAATTCCTGTCCGAATTTTGGACAACAGTGAATGCGGAGTGTTTAACTGGGCATGCGCGTGAATTTTATATCGTTATCTAGTGGGCAGATGTCAATTCCCACAGGGACTTATCTGCCCACACAAAGATGGCAGCGCCCAGGACCTAGATCCACGTAGAATATAAAGTTGCAAAAAATAGGTAATATGAGGACATTTGGGAGTGACTAGGGGGGTGAGGGGGCAATTAGATGTAGTGGAGTCAGGAGGGGGGGGGGTTAAAAAAACAAACAAAAAAACACAACAAATGTGGCCATGACAGTGCTGCTTTAAGGGGTTAAAATGGCTGCGAACATGAATAATTTGGAGCATTAACCAAGCCACCAAATTGGACAGATCAAAGTAACTCATGGGTAAACTGCGAGCAAAGGAACACTATAGGGTCAGAAACACAAACATATATTCCTGACTCTATAGTGCTAAGCCCACCATTAAAGTGGCGTGCCTCCTTTATCCCCATTAAAAGCATGAAAAACACCTTATTTCCAGCGGGTGCGGGTCTGCCGGCACTGACTCCACCCCCTTGGTGACATCAGAATTGCCAATTTTTAGCCAATCCAATGCTTTCCCATGGGAAGGGTGGGGGCCAAATGCCATTTGGCCAATCAGCACCTCCTCATAGAGATGCACTGAATCAATGCATCTCTATGAGGAAAATTCAGCGTCCCCATGCAAAGAGTGGAGACACTGAATGGCAGGGCTGCCTACTGTGCAGCATGGAGCCAGGAAGCACCTCCAGTGGCCAACTGAGGAGTCCCTAGTGGCAATGTAAACACTGCATTTTCTTTGAAAAGGCAGTGTTTGCATGAAAGTGCCAGAGGGCAATGATTATACTCACCAAAACTGCTTCATTAAGCTAAAGTTGTTCATGTGACTATAGTGTCCCTTTAACTCAACAATCCTGTAATATTAACATAAAACCCTAGCAGGCCACCAGTATAAGTTACATATTACATCCCCTTTATACTTCCCCTAAAAAAAAAAATCCTTATTTGGAGTATTAGAACAGCAGATCACTATTGTAGCCAGGTATATAGTGGGCTCAGTTGCTACCCTTGTTTACATCTTTATCACTGTTAAAGGGAGTTGTGAACAAAATACAATTTAAAGACAGAATGTGATATTAGAAATAGAAGAGCTTTGTTAAAAGGTTTGGGAGGATAGACAATATTAAATCAAGAAAAGCAGTTACGGATCAAAACCAACAAATCCCATAGAAAGACAGGAGAGGGTCCTCTTCATAAAAATGAATGGAAGCCGATTTGCACTCAGCATGCTTGTTGACAGTGAAGTACTATGTTGTTTCACTGTAATGGCACACAGCCACCCCACAAGTAACCCTGCCAGTTTTAATTGCTTACCAACTTACTGCCAGATTGCCAAATGAGATCTGGGATTGTGTGTTTAACACCATCCCGTGTGTTTCCGCAAATCTGCCTCATGTTGTTAGTGATGAATTCTAGTAAACGGAGTAGATGCAGAAGGATGTCCTGCTAATAAAATTACCGCAGAACAGACAGACATTCTCATGGGTTATGTGTTTAACACCAACTCTGTCACAGAAGCCTTGTCTTTTACTTGTGAGAACTAGACAATGCAGCATAATAGCTTCCACGGCATAAAATGTTCCTCCATTTCAATACCATGCCTTTCAACTGCCCGATTTCCTTGACACTCCCACTTTACAGGTCCTATTCCGCCTTAGTCCCTGCTTTTAGGGACACCAGGAGACAATCCCCCCAAATTATGGCATGAGTGCATCTGAAACCGTGTTCCCTGCAGGGTCTACCCTTAGTGGGCAGATATGATTGGTAAGCAGCCTGGCGTGTATTCACACCATACTGACCTGCCAGTAATGTGGGCAGACACGCCATCTTTCAAGGTGTATCTGCCCACATTATCGCAGAACAGGCATCCTCATGGGTGGGTCTTCCTCCTTTTGGGTAGTGCTAATAGCGTTTGCATCACTGGTCTGCCCCTTTACTCCCCTCCCACCGGCATCCCCATTCTGTTACCTCTGATGTTGGGAGGTATGCAATACCATGCTTGCACCTTAATGCCCAACAATCTAAGATGACATAAACAAAACGTGGTGAGGGCACTTAAAAAAATATTTTTAAAAAGGACTTCATTGAAGAGGTCTGGGTGCAGTGCCCTTGTACTCTTAATCCTGCAGATTTTGCAATGTTTACATAGCAGGTTTAAGACTGCCTCTGGTGGCTGTCTACCAGAAAGTCACTAGAGGCGATTCCTGCAGTTTCACAGAGTTTAGTGCTGCATGAGGACGTCTAGTGTCTTGCAAATCCCTATAGGAAAGCTTTGATTCAATGCTTTAATATGAGGCCTAATAGTTAAGGTCTAATACAGCTTTTGTATTCCTAACAATACAGTGTTCCTTTAAGCTAGGGTGGTGATTGCAACACATGCAATTATGTTCTTTCATTTAGTGATCACCACATTATTTTCTTATTTGCACAAAAAAAAAAAAAAAATAAAAGTAGCTGAATAGTTACACTGGCAAGTGTATAGTGTAAGTAACATACTATTTATATGTTAAAATGAACAAATGACTTAAATAATTTAAAACATTGCTCATCACTTTAAGCATAAATGTTAAGGCAGGAAAAAGGTTCCTGACCTTTTACACCATAAATTATATACATGGCATGTACAGACTACCATGAACAGCCAATGTTACCCTGCTGAAGGTGCAGGAACAGTTTCTTTGCCAAGATGCTCTAAATTAACCCCTTAAGGACCAAACTTCTGGAATAAAAGGGAATCATGACATGTCATGTGTCCTTAAGGGGTTAAAAGGATTCTATGGTGTTAGGACTAACTAATTTTTTTTTTTTTTTTTTTTTTAAATCATTCCTGCATTCAGGTTTCCTGCCCACTATATAAGATTATATACAGCTACCCTGAATGAGACAGGTATTTCTAAAGTTCAATGCGGAATAACAGGATTCAGCCACCTTATTTGGGTGTTACCAAGAGTCTCATATAGAGACATAAAGTCAAAGACTGCCTACAACTACTTTAAAAAGTAAACATAAATAAATTATTAGAATCGCTCTACACCACTTCCCATGTTTAATTATTTAATAAGCTGCTTCAGAAAAACAGCCAAACTCGATGGGTGGAGGTTAAAGAGAGAAAAAAATGTTTGCTGGGTAGAGAAGAAATGAGAATAGAAGTTCTTGATAAAGCATTATTTGTTTTTATAATGTTAATTGGATTTTTGGAGATACTTGGCCCCAAATGTGTAAATTCAATTTGAAGGAAATCTATCTGCTTATCAATAAGCTTGACATAAGTTTTGGTTGTGAAGTATAGGAATTTAATAGTTTCTACAAGAGCAATAGCTTGCTGTAGTAGTAATGATGGCAGGAATGCCCTAGCGCTGCTTCACAGCAAGGAGGCAAACCATTTTAGGGTTTGCCACTTACCCAACCAAGGTTCTGCAGGGCATTGAGCCATAATGAAGGGCAGCTGAATGACAACACAGCTACAGAAACTGAACACCAATACTGTCATTCATTCACTAGCTGACAGAATCAGATAAGCGTCACTGAATGAGCAATTCTGCACAGAACATTAGCAAGCGCAAAATTTGTTCCAGGCTGGCTAAGGAAAGCTGATAGAGCTTGTCACTAGCTGCAATACATACAGGGTCTTTGCACCATGGCCACTTCAAAGCATATTTATGCAAAACATTGAAAATCTGGAGTAATCATCTGATATCATGTTCCAAAGATGGTGTTAAAGTGATCAATAATTATATGCATTTGTTTTATTTATTATTGACTCTCATTTATCTATGGCAAGGAGTTGTAATCTGAGCTTAGGTAAGAGTTTCAGTCACATTTTGAATGTGCTACTGAGCATTGAACTGCATAGCCCATAAACCTCTGAATAGGATTTTAGTAATATAAATCAGTACTATCACTGAAAATAGCGGTGTGGTTGTCAGGCATTTCCTAGTATAGACCGTGTTCAGAGCAGGAATCGTGGATATGTCCTCAAGGAACAAACATTTATATATAATGCTCGTTTGATTTTTTTTTTTTTATGCATTGTCAATACAATGCACTAAAAACAAGGGACCACACCTCCGCTGGCTGTGAGAAAATGAAAAATTAAAATGGTTAAAGGGACACTCCAGGCACCCAGACCACTTCTGCCCATTGGAGTGGTCTGGGTGCCAACTCCCACTACCCTTAACCCTGCAAGTGTAATTATTGCAGTTTTTTTGCAACAATTACCTTGCAGGGTTAACTCCTCCTCTAGTGGCTGTCTACTAGAGGGCACTTCCTGGGATCACAGCACTGATTATCTGTGCTATAGCGTTGCTGGACGTCCTCACACTGTGTGAGGACCTCCAGCGTCGCTAAAATCCCCATAGGAAAGCATTGAAAAGCATTTTCAATGCTTTCCTATGGAGAGGTCTAATGCACGTGCGCGCATGCGCATTAGGTCTCCCCAGCCAGCGGTCGTGATCAGTCTCCCTCGCCGGATGACGTGATGAATGCAGGGGTGTGTTTGTATGTTGTGCATGTGTTTGACTGCTTGGATGTATGCACACACTATCACATACAGACATACATACATACTTACACAGATATACATGCACATATAAATACACTGACACACAAATTCATTTAGACACCGACACATATGCAATCATGACACACAGATCCATGTGTCCCCTATGGTATTGGGCAGCAATGGAGGGTGACATATGGCAGGTTATGACATTTGGAGGTGTTTGCATTTTTTTAGCATTTTATGTAAAAAAAATTTAAATTTAATATGTGGCAGCTGGCAAGGGTTTAACTATTTGCTTGCCATTTTGCCAGTGGGCAGTTTTTTTGTGTGTTTGTTTTTTTAAATAATCAGGCTGGATTTGAAGCTTCCAATGTTCGATTTGCTCTGACTACAAAGTCCAGACATTGCTGAAATGCATGAACAATGTCCATGTTTTGCCATCTGAATGCTTTGCCCTATTGAAACTTTAGTGAACAACTCCGTCAATATACAGACTGCAGATAAATTTGAGTACAGATTTCTCCTTGGATAAAATTGCCTCATATTTGCTTTTTTACAAACATCCACATTTATGCTCCTCTAATAGGATCAGATATAGCATTATTGGAAACAATACAAGCAAATTCTTTAGAAAAACGAACTGGAATCAACCGTGAGGATAATAAAATGACAGATTTTTGTTAATTTTTTTCAACACATATGTAGGATTTTGTCTGCCCCATATGTAAAATAGCAATAATTTGCTATAGTAAACGAATAAAAGGGACCAGTTTCTCAATAAATAATAGTGTACAATATCACAAAAGCCACCTCTTATGAGGCAGAAAAACTATTCTCTATAGCCTAAGCTTGAAAATACGGATCAAAGATTTAAAAGGATTACAGTGACGGTTGGAAGACCTACATATCTTGCGTATAGAGTAGTTATGTCTCTTAGTATTAAATATATAAAAAAACAATTTAAAAGATTTGTGAGGATTGTAAAGTTGCCTGTGCAAGCATTAAGTGCAGTGAAATAATTACACTTCTCTGAATGTTAGTCGTTTTGCGAGTAGTTTGCCTGCCTTGTTCCCTTGCATGTAATAGGTGAGCTTTAATTTGCGGAGCTGTCGTTCCACACTTATCAGGGATAGATCAAGTATTTTGTCCCTTAATTTTTCGATAGTGCGGGATAGATTTTTAGTTGGTTTGAGTTTGTTAATTTGTTCTAAGGATTTAAGTTGAGAAAGTAGGTTATCTGACTCAGTGTGGGTTTTCTTTTTGTTTATTGCGCCTGCCTGAATCAATAGGCCTCTTATCACGGCTTTTAGGGCCAGCCATTTAGTGTCTATGCGAGTGTTGTCGGCAAGGTGAGTCTCCAAAAAAGATAATATGTTATCCCGAATTTTTGCAGCCGTAGTCTCGTTGTCTAGGAGGGATTCGTTTAAGCGCCAGGCACTGCGCCCCCGTGACGGGAACAAGGCCCTAAAAGTAGTGGTTACCGGCGCGTGGTCGGACCATGTCCGGTCACCTATTTGCACTTCTATTATATTGGGTACCGTATTTTTATCTACCCAGCACATATCTATACGAGAGTATGTGTGATGGACTCGTGAGAAATATGTGTAGTTTCGTTCTTTCGGATAAAGGGTACGCCACGAATCGTAAAGGTCGTGCCTGTGGAGCAGCGTGCTAAGGGTTGCACTCATTGTGTTAGCAAGTTGGAGAGGTTGTTTGTTTGCTATTCGCTTAATGTCTAAGTCGGGGTCTAGCGTGCAATTGAGATCGCCACAGATAATAGTATGCCCCACACGGATAGTAGAGATTTTATTTAATGCTCTTCTAATGAAGGAAATTTGGGAGTTGTTGGGTGCATATATGGAAGCGATCGTAAGTTGCATTCCATTCAAAGAGCCTACCACTATAAGGAGCCTGCCCAGCTCGTCTACATAGGTGTTATCAAGATGGAAGACCCAGTCAATATGGAACAGAATTGCCACTCCTCTCGTTTTGTTTGGGGCAAGGGCATGAAATACCTGCTGATATCTGGATGAGCTCAACTTGGGGGGGTTTCTTTTGCACATGTGCGTTTCCTGGAGGCAAACTATGGCGGCCTGGGAAGTATGAATGGTCTTAATCACAGAGCTCCTTTTAAATGGGCTATTTAGGCCGTTAACATTCATAGAGAGACATTTAAATTGGTACATCATCTTAAAGGGATATATAATAGAGCTTGTTAGTCACAGCATATTGTCTGCCAGTGACACACATGGGGCTTGTGGTAGTGTAGAGTAGGGGAAGATCAGATGACTGATTACGTCCTGCACAGGTATGGGTCAACGTAGCTGCCAAGGGGATGGGAAGGGAAATAACAGGAAAGATAAAATCAACAAACAAAGGTATATACAATATCTCTCTGAGATGAGAGAAAATACTGGGATCCAGAGGGGAGCCTAAAGCTCCAAGCACCTCGGATACCCTTGGGGGGTCGTGCGGAACAGGACCGCACCCGGACCAGATTCTCAAAGTAGGCAGGAATGGAGAGGAGAACATGCGTGAGAGGGGCTGAAATCTGGACAGCATTCTCACCTGTGCTCTCTCTAAATCTCTGAGGCAGTATAGGGGAGAAGGGCAACGGATTTATGGTAGCTTAACCGGGAGTATTGTGGCTAACTGGTGGATGGGTTTTTTTTTTTTTTTTTTAATATATTTCCCTCCGTTAAACTGAGCATGGTCGAAAGTGTATCTAAGGTCGTAATCATAAAACTCAGGATGCGACCATTTAACCATGTGTGTGCTTAGCGCTCCGAGGGGAGGGGGGGGCCTTGGGAGACCTAGCCTTGGGGCCAGCTAGAGTACAGGAGGGATGAAGCGATACACATGGTAGCCTAAACTCATCCGTAGGGAAGAACGAACATTGTAACAGAGCAATTTACCAGGGGGGGGGTTATTCCCTTGCTAAACATTTCTCAGATGAAGCAGTGAAACAAGCATGACCTCCCCTCCTGAATATAAGCAATACTTAGTGGACACTATAAACATTTTTTTTTTTTTTTTTTTTAAATCCCTTCAACTTGTGAACTTTTCATGCCCTCCCACCCTACACCCTCATTAAACATTTTGCCTCCGTGTATAATCATACGATACCACTCGTAGCAACTGGGGTCTATGGCCCTTATAGGTGTATTGTCGCAGAGTCCATGCGTATGGCATAAGCCAGCTGGAGACAGTTCAGGGGTAGGTGGTTAACGTCCGTGTCGGGCGAGGGCATCAACAAGCAGCATGGTGTCTTCTTGCGCGGCTGTAGTATACATCAAAGAGTAGAGGCAGGGAGATGCTGTCCTAGATGGGGTGGCCGTTAGCGTCGAGCGCCAACCATCTGCCAGTCTGGCTGGGACCTCTTCGGGGTGGTCGAGGCGGCTGGTTGTAGGTGGGTGGTTTCTTGCTGGCCCCAAAGTCCCCAGTGTTTCAGCGTGGTTAGCCCTTTCGAGGGGTCATCTATAATGTGGAGCTTATTCTGCCGCCAGACCAGCAGTCTCGTAGGAAATCCCCAGCGATAAGCCTGGTTGTGGTTGCGTAGGGTTTTTGTAATGGAGGAGAATTCTCTGCGTCTTGCCATAGTGAGGGCCGATAGGTCCGCAAAGATAGAGACAGCATTATATGGGTCGGGCAATGGGGATTGGGCTCTAGCGGCCTTGAGAAGAGCCTCCTTGGCTTTAAAGTGATGGTAGCGCACGATAATGTCACGCGGGACGTCCGCGCCAAATCTGGGCGGTTTTGGAACCCGGTGGGCTCTATCCAGTTCCCATGTAACACCGGAGAGGTCAGGGACCAGCGTGGTACTTAATGAGGTAATGTAGGCCGAGATCTGTTCTGTTGTGATGGACTCTGCTACTCCCCGGAACCGCACGTTGTTCCTGCGGGAGCGGTCCTCCATGTCCGCCATTTTGTGCCATAATTTGGTATTATCTTCCTCTAGTTTCTGTAGTCTGTCCGCCATCAGATTGTGGGCAGAGGAGAGATCATCAGTTTTACGTTCGACCTGATCGGTCCGGTCACCCAGCTCCTCTAGCTCTTGATGGATGCCCGCCAAGGAGGTGGTGAAGTCCTCTTTAATAGTGGACCTGAGGTCCGCGAGCACTTGTCTCAGATATTCTTTTGAGAATTGTGAGTCGTCTGATAGTGAGTGCGTGGGCGACTCGGTGCAGGGGTCAGGGTCCGGAGACTGAGCTCTGCTGGCGGCGCCATCTTGGGCCTGTTTCAGCCTTTCTCTCTTATGGTGGCGGACCGCGTCCGTAAGTTTTGTCTGCTTCGAGGGAGACATTAGAAGCCGTGTAGCCTTTGCCCCCCGCTGGGTCAAGGTAATCCAGCGAAATTTCCTCTTTAATAGTATTTAAGCTGGTCCGGGTGGTGCGGAGCTCCTACTCCATGCGACCGATCTTGCCGGAAGTTGGACACGCCCCGACCACACTTCTCTGAATGTTAGGCTGTCCACTCCTGCCATCATACTGATGAGCTGCCAGGTAGCAGTAAATGTGAAACAGCATGCATGTAAAGATACAAGCTGGCTATACACTCCACAGGAAGCAAGAAGATTTCTTTGTTTATATAAGTGAAATGGAATCTTCTATAAAACACAAAACACTCAGGGGCCGGAGCCAGCAGCCTTCATGGACGTACATACATTTCCTTAGCTCCGGACTGACTCGACATATCGAACATAAAAATAATCTAATACAAATATTGGACGAAGACGTCCACAGGGGGGTACAATGCCGGTAACGTGTTTAACCTAACCACTGCAACTTTCATTTGTAAAAAAAACTGTATGACACTGCGCTGTCACTTACATACATATGCCTACATATCTCTATGTCGACCTCTTCGTCAGACCAAAAATAAACTATTAAAAAAAAATTAAATAATAATCTAATACAGCACAATAACTGGCCCAGTGAAAGAGACTCAAAAACCCAAAGACTATGGGACACCACAAAAAGCTCCCAAAAAACAGGGCTGACAAACTACCTTTCACAGCCGATATTGGCACCAACGCCTCTCACACCGCTGTCATTGGAATACTCTTCAAGCTCGAGAAGTGATATCTCCCTTGAGGCAGAGATGGAGGCGCTTCCATGAGCAACCTCTTGTCCAAGCCATCCCTGCCCAGTATGATCGCCACGAAACGCAGCTTAACCCTACAAAAAAAAAAGCATTGCCGTTCCTGCAGAACCCTGGAAAAGGGGGGTACATGGCTCCCAGACAAAATCATTGAGATGCCTAAAGAATTTTTTTATTACACACAAAGCTCTTGCAGGTAACAAACAAATGTAGTTTACAATCTGTATTGGGGCATTCCAGGAGACATGGTCTCTATAAAAAAAAAAAAACAAAAAAAAAAAACACTGTTTAGTAGATATGCCCAAAATGAAAACTTGCATGCTTTTAATGATGTATTTTTCATTGTAGATATATATAAAATAGCATGCACTTTTTTTTTTTTTTAAGTGTCAACTTCTATTTAAACCCACACTTTTTGAAAAGAAACAAAAAAAGAAAAAACATTTTTTTCAAAACTTTACACGAAGATTTTTCAGCAAGCTAAAGTGCTTTTAGAGGTCTGGAGTGTCCCTTTAATTTTACAAATAACATTTTTAATACTAGTGTTAAGGACCCAGTCGAAGTGTGAATCATTTGTCAAATTTCCATCTATTAAACACGCCAGACACCACAACAGACCACAGTAGTGGATGTGTTGCCAGTAGAACCTTGGAGCCATTCCAGTGTAAGGTGTCAAATTGTTTTAGTACGGTCTGGCGGCTGCTGAGCCAAGTAGGGCCATGCAGGCCCACACTCACTGCCTATATCTGTTGTGCTTAGTTGAACACCCATTTTTTCCTGCAAGTGAATAGAAGATGCAGCCAATGAAAGCAAGTTGTCAAACTGTACTAAAACGATTTGAAAAATAACAGTGGGACACAGAACCACTAAGATAGTTACCACATTTAACTAGCTGCTGCGACTTTACATATATATGCCCTATTTTGAGGATTCCGCAACTTTGCGGAACAAAATTATTATTTTTTATTCCTGATTACCTCAATAAGAATACATTCCAATATACATGAAATAATAACCTATAAGGTGGCACTCTACTGAAAGATAGTGCTGATATCAGGGTCACCCACTAATCACTTTTCAACTATGACACCCATTCTACTTATTCATAATTTTATTTTATTTTTTTATCAGAGAAAAGGCAGTGTTTACACCTTCAAGTGATTGATTGAGGAGGTCCTGATCGGCCAAAATGGCATTAGGCCCACCCCGTGCTAATTTGCAGATTGGCAAAAAAAAAAAAAAAAATAAATAAATAAATTTTTATGATGTCACAAAGGGGGCAGAGCCAGCGCTGGCAGTGCCACGCAGAACCAGCACCACTTTTATACAGGTTTGTGTTCCTGACCCTATAGTGTTCCTTTAATAACAGTGAGGAAATTATTCGGACTGTTTCTCATCATTGAAAGTGGCTTGGGACATTATACATATAAGTGTTGGTTGCTATGCTTCTGTAAGGAATCTGTGTTCCTGTACTAGAGGGTTCTATCCTGCTTTTGTACATATTCTGTGATATGATTTTTCTCAGTTTCATTTTCTTTTTTAATATATGTTCACTAGGTGATGATTGAGTAGTATCTGCACTTCTATGTAAGAATATCGTTTCTTGGATGAAATCTTATGTTTCAGACACTAAGCACTTTCACTTTTTTCCAAACTTATGGCATAAAATAAAAATCACATTTGCATACAGTTTTTTGATAATCAATATTTTTGAGTGCGGTATGATTCTTTATATTTAAAAAATATCCAATAATGGAAGATATATAGATATAATCACTCTCAAGCACACCACAAAAGAAGAATTCTGTTCTGATGTGTGCTGAGTGAGCAGAAGGTGCCATGCGTATACCCTGGGTATGAATATCTAGGGTCATGTGACATTAATCAGAATTCCAGAGCTCAGAGTCACTCAAAAAGGGAAGGAGTGTAGAACGGGTGTCATAGTTGAAAGCATTTATCAAAACATTCTACAGAAGGACAATAGACCATGAAGTTTCCATGGGACCATGTTTGCAGCTTGAGACACTGTCACATAAATAGAAGTACATTTTGAGACAACTCATGCTTTAACAAAGAATATTGCAATTTACATGCTTGTATGTCGGACAACAAAAACAATTATAAAAATAACTCTAAATGTTGGGTGATGTTTACAATCTAATTCTGAAGTTTAACATATTATTAAAAGTCTTTATTAAAGGGACACTATAGGCACCAAACGCAACTCTAGCTTAATAAAGCAGCTTTAGTGTACAAATCATGCCCCTGCAGTCTCACTGCTCAATTCTCTGCGATTTAGGAGTTGAATTACTTTGTTTATACAGCCCTAATCACACGTCCTGTAAAGAGTGAGCTAAGGTTTAAACTTCCTTTATCACAGTCTGTTCAATTCTTAATTTCTGATCTTTAGAATATTGTGTCTCCTCTGTTAATAGACTTCTGCAGGAGCCTCCTCTGTGTACAATCATTTACAGCTTTTTTTTTTTGTTTTATTTGCCATGCTCTTTAAACTTGTGATAACTATTTTGTAGCAATTTACATTAGTGGTTTAAATCCCAATGTGGAATGCTACCCCTACGGGTATGCCAGACTGACAAACAAGTGCTCATTCATAGCTCTCCATTAGGCATTGACCATTTACTATATAGGTCCATCATTTCCACCGACATCTCAGTTATATTATACCATGTCATTTCTAAGCCTCCAATTCAGCTGCCAAAGTCAAATTCCCCACCATCAGCTATTCAATAGTCACTTGTCTTGTCTTTGCATACGCAAACATAACTTTTTTTTCTAGAATCTTCATTCATCGGTTTGTCTAAAAATGTCATTCACTACCAATATGCAAAACAAGGAAAGCATACCCACCCCTGCCCCCACACCACCCAAGATGTTCTTCGTATAGGCATGAGACTTAACACAAATTTGCAAATGTGATATAAAATCCACAATCCAAGTGTTGAGTGTAAGTATGCATGTTAAATGTGCAAATGGAACATTGCCACAACACATAGCAAAGTGGCTACATCAGATGTGAAGAAACAACCCTATAAGCAACTCTTCAGACTCTTTTTACAAACATATTTGTAAGGTTAAAGTTCGTGATGATCTGCTTGCCTGTTTGAAACAGACAAATTTTGAGGTATTTGTATTCAACTCTAATTGTCTTGCACTAACTACTAAACAAAACTGAACAAACCCACAATTATTTATCTTGCCTCTACTAGAAGTAGCACACAATATTCCTCTAGAACAGGGCTAAAACTGTGGCCTACTAGCCTTTCCAGCCAATCATCAATGAAACTGAATTGCTATGTGGCCATCAGGAGCACCAAAGAACAAATACGTCATCACATGGCAGAGAGACGATTATGAGAACATGCATGCCTTTATTAAAACAGGTTCATACTGTGACAGTCACCATCCCCAAGAGCATAAGATCGACAATTCAATTAGGTATCTGAATGACTCCTATGTTTAAGTCACCCTGTGTCCATTGTGGGTGCAATGTGGTTGTTTGGGTTTAAATGTTAGTGTGCTCTCCTGTCTTGCTAATGCTTGCAATTAAATAGGTGGATTTGGCTGAAAAGCCTGTACAGCGCCATCTCTTGGTTGCAAGGATCTAGCAACAATATGCACTACCTGAATAGCCAGACTCGCTAATTTGCATATTACTAATTCTGCAGGTAAGAGATATTTTCTGTTCATTATTGTCTTCCCCACCCCTTTATAAATATGTAATTGTGTTATAATAAGTTGCTGTTTGTTGTCTGCTATGATTTGACCGTTTGTAATTTTATTAAAGTTGTCACAGCAACCTAAGTGTAATGAACATATGGGCTAGTTCTGCGTTTTGTATATATTCCAGTTGGAAGTGGGTGTCGAGTGTAGATTTTTAGGGATCCCGGTGAGAGTGCCTTCGGACCTGCTGGCTGGCAGCATGATCCCTCCAGCCCTGAGATAAATCGACAGAGCTAGGCCTGTAAAGGCAATAACTATAATCACTGTAAGCAAAGCTGCAGCGGAATAAGCAAAGGGGATGATAGCACCGGAGAGACTCTATATTTTCTATTTCAGTGTTCCACATTTCTAGGAGCTTCTTAGTGTTGAGGTGTCTGAGTGTATAACACAGCTCCACAGCAATAATGTTTACAGTAATGTGTATTTAAATTACAATAAATGTGTTTAGAAATCAGCCTGTGTAAATAAGATGCATTTTACTTATCAGTTGCAAACATTTTATAAATCCCCATAAACATATTTGAACAGCCAGACCCCCATTCACAACCCTAAGATTAAAACGTCCCTCTGTGTTCATTTGAAATGTTGGAAAGTATGCATTAATACACTGCCTTACACGTGGGCATTTTTTAGCCTACAACTCTAAAGCCAAATGAAGTCCACCTCAAATCCCTGATATCTGGAAAAACATCCTTGAAGCCAGGCTCCAGGACAATGTTTTGGAGTGCTTGTGTTTAGCCACATTGTCCAAGTACATTATTGCCACACAGAGGTTGCTATCATAGTTATTAAGCAACTATCATCTTCTTGAGCTTGTAAAGCTGTATCATAGGTAGGCAAATAAGGTTTTCAAATGGCACTTTTATTTTTCAAGGATTGACTTTAGAAGTTATGAAGTACGCAAAAATATGGTCCAGGCACTCCAAGATCCAGAGTTGGCATATTTATTCTGGATCTTTGAGTGCCTGAACCATTTTTTGCATATTATGGTCACTGGAACCTGGTGCTTGGTCCTGGTTTGGTTGCACCCAGGCTCAGATTGATGGGATTGAGTGCAGCTCCTAGTGTCTATTGAAAAGGTTTAGAAGTTATGGAGACATATGGTTAAAGAATCACTTGAAGCACCATAAAAATGTTACTTTATCGTTAAGGTTATAGGTCAGAGAACTACTTCTCCCTGACTAACTGTAAAGTATGGTTTCTAGCAATAATTTCAGGGTAGAAAAGATTGAGCGATATAAGCTTGCCTCCAGGATCAGTGATTAAAAACTATAGAACTTAATTACTTTGTAGCGGTCTAACCTCCATCCAACTTGTGCGTATGCACAACACGTGCACTGAGCCAAAAACTAACCACAGTAAGAAGGTGCCTGACTTTCTGCATTTTGTGCCCCTTTAAAGAAGAAAGGGTACAAAATGCAGAATTAACAAAAACTGTAGGTATGAGTTAAATTCTTCAACAGTGCTGAATGTACTCACATGTACAGCAGTTCATTTTATTTACATTTGAATAATAAAAAAATGAAGAAATAGACAACCATTGTCATTTTTAGTTAGCGGTCGGTTTAACATAAGTTTTACAAGTGAAAGTTCTGCTTGAAGGATATAAGTGGGTTATAAATAGAGTTTGCAATCATATCAAATGAGCACTGGATGATGAATCAGCTATAGCGCCTACAGTGTTCCTTTAATCTCTATGGAAAATAGTCTACAATAGTTGTACTGTCAATAGCTGGCCACCATAAACAAGCACGTTCCCTAGGTATCATGATATGCAGCATTATTCCATTTGAAGTGGTCACAGTGCCTGGAATCCATATACTGTATAGAGTTTGACCCCTCTGCCTCTAGATATGTAACTCCACCTTGAGCAGAATCACTGGGGTGTCGTCAGCCAGCTGGGAACACTGTTAACTCTGTGCAACTTTCACTGCACAGAATTCCATTCATTGGCTGATCGACAGCTGACACTTTCAACCAATAAATGGTGACAGCCATGGCTTCTTCGGCACAGCGGGAGCCCTATTAAAGCGGGCTGTAGTGGTTTTATGATGGATAGATAGGAGTAAAGCTGTCCAGAAGAGTGCAGGGCCCGAGAATGAGGAATAAACATAGCACCCAGGAGGGGTGAGAATTAGTGATGTCCCGAACGGTTCGCCGCGGACTCATCATTGAGTAAACTTTGACCCTGTACCTCACAGTCAGCAGACACATTCCAGCCAATCAGCAGCAGACCCTCCCACCTCCTGGACAGCATCCATTTTACATTCATTGTGAAGCTGCATTCTTAGTGAGCTGTCCAGGAGGTGGGAGGGTCTGGTAGGGAGGGTCTGCTGCGGATTGGCTGGAATGTGTCTGCTGACTGTGAGGTACAGGGTCAAAGTTTACTCAATGATGAGTCCGCGGCGAACCGTTCGGGACATCACTAGTGAGAAATATATATATATATATATATATATATATATATATATATATATATATATATACACACACACACACACACACGTCGGAATGTATAATTAGGTGAAAAACATTGGTTTGCATAGAAAAATAAACAATAGTAATGATTTATAATAAATAAATAAATCATACCAGTGACATCCTATTTAACACACACAGATTTTTAGTGTCAAGAGTTTACCTAAATGTGTGTTAAATGTGTTTATATTCTGAGGATTATGCATGATACCCAGGTATAATAGGCAGGCAACTAGCAGGAGAACTCTCCTACAGGCAGCTTTCCTTCTCCTTCAAACCAAGTATTCAGCTTGAAGATTTCAAGGGAATGGGGTGACAATATCATAGTTCAGATGCTGACCCTCTGGTAATTAAGCCAGGTACAGTATAAAAAAATAAAATAAAAAAATAAAAAAATTACTGTACTTCCCAATAAAGCTAAAACTTAGAGGAGGGGGGCAGGAGGGAACCATGGTGAGTGTTATAACTAATGCAACACAAGGATAATAGCAACGACAATGCAAAGACAAAGAAACACTAAGAACCAAAACTACTGGACTGTCCTGGCACCCCCTATATAACTAGTCAAACAATTTGCCAACTTACTTGTATCCACCATGCTTCAGTCACCTCCTTCATCAGAGCTGTAAGCTCTCAGTACTAAGCTAAACCAAGCGCGTGCATTGTTTACATCATTGACTGTGTGCAATCAGCTCATTCTCTCAGCAATTAAGTTGGCCCTGGACTTTAGGAGAGCTAATGGAAGCTCTTGCACCCAGTCAGTTGTCAAACAGGTTATGTTTTGATTGCTTGCATAGGGGGCAAGTCAGGGCACTTTACAGTAGTGTCACTACAGCAAGCTTGTTGCTTGTTAGAGTAAATCTGTCATGTAACAGAAAAAATCCATCCTGTTTTCTCCTCCCCACTGTTCCAACATTTGTGTAAGGAGTATATAACTGGATGCTACACCCCAAAAAGCAAAATGACTGTTGTGCGCACACCTAATAGTATCGCCCCTTGTAGTACAAGCATTACTACAATATATAGGTCTCCTAACAGACCTATCAAACTGTGTGCACAGCGTTCTTATACCTAAATTTATGTTGTTTCCAAAAGTGAAACAATTCAAATCCATCTACGGGAAAAACACTGGAAAGTAAGACGACAAGACGGAGTCTCTCAGGAAAGAATGTGGATCTCGACAAGTTGTTGATCTCTGGTACCTCTAGGCTTTAGTAAAGTCAGTTACCAGGGAATCAAGTAAAAACTCATAGGTCACATGCAAAATCAATTAGGGAATAATGTAATTCTGGCAACTCCATGAAGCTCAGTGTAAGAAGACAAGGTCACACACAAAAAAGAACCGCAAAACAAAACCCCAAAACCTTTGTAGGTTTAAGAAAATAATTTGTACACATGTGTTGTTAAAAACATGAATGCTTATGGGAATGTGAACATTTTCAGCAAAAGTAGACTGTGTATATGTGATTGCATATCATGCACCTAAACAAGTTCATAAGAATTTAAAATTTCAATATGAGAAGTAGCATGTGCAACAATTTAACACATGCACATCCTAAAACAAAAAAGTTGCATTTGATATACTAGATCAAGCATGTCAAACTTGCGGCCCACAATGGACATCTTTGCGGCCCGGCGAGCACATGCTTGGTGTTAAAGCAGAGAACAGGCGCCTACTCTGCGAAAATTTACTCGGCCGGAGAGGAAGCAGGATGCTTGCGGTGGTGAAGAAGCTCGGTCTTCCTGCTCCTCACTGCTCCCTTGTGCACACAGTCTGTAGTGATGCCGGGTGCCGGAATATGACATCATGTTTGGCACCACTAAACTGCTTGCGAGGGAGCAGGAAGGAGATCTGAATGTGTAAATGTGTGTGTGTGTCTGTCAGTGAGTATGTGTGTGTCTGTGTTGCGATGGCTGCAGCTGGCCAGTGGAGTACCTGGAGGTGCACGGAGGCACACAACGCCATATCACATTCCAACGTGATGTCGACATGCTCCACCTTCACAGGGTTTCAAGAAGTAGCGTGAGGATCCGCTTTGGAACAGGGTGCGGCAACGCCATTTGGGGTATACCAGAGGCTGGACTCCGGAGTTGCATACTGGCAGCGGCAATGTGAGTGGAGTCTGCTTGTTGGCTAGAGGGGGGTGCTGATTTAGTATAGGGGAGGACTGGGATAAACCTATATTTCTATGAAAATTTAAGTTGTTTTTTTTGTACTAGATATTTAAAAAAAAAAAACACACCACACAAACTCCAAAACGCAACCTTTAAAGTTTGTGAGAGTAGGCATAACTTGCTAATATGGTGATTTAGGTTCCTTAAAAAAAATGGCAGGTAGGTGCCTTAAAGGAACACTAAAAGGTATAGGCTCAGGAACACAAATGTACTCCGGACCCTATAGTGTTAAAAACATCATCTTGCCCTCCTGGTCCCCCTAAATATAGTAAGATTTTACTTTTATTCCAGTCTGCTCCTGCTGGCTCTGTCCCTGATCTGCCTGCTTGTCAGAAGTGTTGATCAAAGCCAATTGCAAAGCTTTCCCATAGGGGTTAGAGCTTGCACAAGCCAAAAACAGCCCTGGCCAATCAGCATCTCAATGCATTGTTATGAGGAAAGTTCAGTGTCTCCATGCAAGGGGGTCAGAGCACTGCCCCAAAAAAGCACCTTTAGTAGCCATCTGAGGAGTGGCCAGTGGAGGTATCACTGGGCTGGAATGTAAACACTGCCTTTTCTATGAAAACACAGTGTCTTCTGCAAAAAGCCTGAAAGGGAATGATTATACTCACCAGAACAAGTACAGTAAACTGTAGTTTTGGTGACTGCAATGCTAATCAATCATTAAGTGCAAAAAATAAAATAAAACTGTATGTACTGCTAAACTTAAAATATTGGACATCATGAATTTGAGATTGTCAAGGCAAAGAATTTGCCACATATTTCTTATTTGAAGTGACAGATCACCAAGCCTGCATCTCTCTCAAACGTCAATCCTCCTGTGTGGCATTGAGCTTCTCAAGGGAATATCCCCACCATTAGAGCTTCACTGACCCAAGCATGTAGAGGTCACACCCTGCTCCACGTGTTCTTTGTTAGAAGGGGCACAAGAACAGAACTCTTGGCCCCCACCTCTTCTCTCTTCCGGATATAACCAATTTGTCACACCTCCAAATGACCCATCTTGTTCCAAAACCCTAGATAAGATGTCTCTCCTAAACAGACTGACAGGTAGAAAGCTAAGCACATTTTGCACTGCTGGAGTAATCATTTACAATGACTATACTAATAGAGACCAGCTCATGTTTTAACCCTCTATTTATAAACTAACTATGCCACCATTTATTATATGTGTGCTTTGCGTTACATTTTACCACAAATTAATTAAATGCATAAACACTACGCGAACAACCCATAAATTAGGAAGTCAGCCAATTCGGTTTGTTTTGTTTTTTTGGAACCATAAAGCACATGCATGTTTATACAAAAATCTAAATCATACAAATCTATAAAATAGTTTGGAGCAGTGGGTATATTACAGAAGCCATACATGTATATTATTCATGTAAAATAGACAAAGCAATATGCGGCTTGTTTGTAGTTCCATTGCACACCAACCATGGGTTTGAAATGGCAGCTGATAACAGGTTAGAATGATAGGCACATATAAATGAGTGCATGTTGCCTTACTACCCCCACCTCCTATTTTTCTTCCCTACACAAATAGTCACCTCCTCCTGTTCACCTAAAAGGGAAAGGAAGGCAGTCAATATTGCAGTTTCTAATTGCAAACTAGAAAAACAGAAGGGTTAATGTTAGTGGGCTCTGATTGCAAAAAAATATGTCAAACAGCACTGAGGAAATATGCCAAATGCACAATGACACAGCATGCATAATGTGATTTATTAAGAATACACTTCGACAAAAATCAAGCAAAAGCCGGATAAGAATTTTTTTTTTTTTTAAAGTAAATACATAAAGTTCCAGTAAGCTATTAAATAAAATTAATTATGAAAACATATCATATGGGGAGGGAGTTTAAAAAGACAAAAGATATATGCAGCGGGCGGGTCCCTGGAACCCACAGAGGAAGCGGTCTATGGCCTGACTTGGGACTGCTGCACGCGATCTGGTATTATGACATGCAAATGAAGAAGAAGAAGAAAAAAAAAAAAAAGTTTAAAAATATTCTGCAAAGCAGGAAACTAGCAGAACAGGGAGAAAGCAAGTTGGAGCAGATGGGAGGGGGCCTCACAGAGTTAACAGAACAAGCAGTGTGCATATCCAGAAACCTACAATGAGAATGTTTAGAAAGTGACAATATTTATAATAATGCTTGGGGAAGGAAAAACAAAAACAAACAAACAAACACAACCCAAACAAACTGATATGCCTAAAGATCAATATACTGAGGAGAACAATGACACAAGTCAAATACATCACTTGTATTGATTTATAAAATTATTGACTTGAGTTTTATATAGTCTATATATTATAGACAGTTGTATTCCAATACACGATATACACAGTCAAAACCACAAGGCACATTTACACCGTATTTACCTTATATACCTTAAAGTTGCATAGTCTTTTTCCCTTTTATCTTTCCTTCCCTGAAGCATTTGGATCTTAAAAAGTATTCTATAGTATGAGGAAAACAAAGTTGTATTCTTTACACTATAGTTCCCTCTGTTCTCCCCTGCCATCCCCACAAGTTTTTCCCTAACATAGAAAGAAAAAAAAAAAAAAACACAACAAAACAGATTTCTCTTGGTGCTGGGTCAGCGCTTTGCCTTCTCCAACTGGAGAATGAATGAGTGATAGGCCCTCCCTATAGGAAAGCATTGCTTTAATGCTTTCCAATTGGGGTTTTATGGGCACTGGATGTCCTCATGTAGAGAATAAAGATGTTCAATGCCACTTAGATGACCAAAGGTTGCTATACAGCCAGGAATCACTGAGATGAAGTGGTCTGGGTGCCTATAATATCCCTTTATTTATTAGCTTTTATTTCCTTGCACTTAAATTTTATATTTTGGTCTCCACTTTCCGTGATTTCTTCATCTGCAGTTTGCTCTTCTGTGAGATTTTTTTGACTGAGACTGTGAGTAAATTGCCTTGACAATTGGAAAGGAACCTTGCTTAAAAGAACACTAAACACAAATTAAGTTAATTTTTGACATAATATTCATGCTGTATTTTTCTCCATGTTTAAATCTCTTAAGGTTTGCAGACTTCCACAGTATAACTCTTTACTCCCATTTTGGCTCCTTGGCCACTACCATTTTTTTTCACAAAACAATCTAATCATTAGACATGCTCTGAATACGTACTCTTCTCAGCCAATGAAAGATCAATGCTTTCCTATTTGATTTTTCATGCATTTTTGGCTGGCTAATGTCAATCCTGTGCAAAACTGTTGCCAAACAGCAAACTGGTTTTGCCAGCATTCGAAAAGTCGCTCTTATCTCAAAAGTGAACAAACCTTCTATGCCATTATTTAGGTTTCAAGAGGGACTAGTAGTCTCTTTGGAACTTAAAGTTTCAGATAATTGATATATCAGAGAATGGGGGCCTTAGTCAGAGAGGTGACCAAGCACACAATGGTTACTCTGGGTAAGTTCCAGAGATCCTGTGTGGAGATTGGAAAATCGTGTGGAAGGACAACAATCACTGCAACACTCCACCAAATTGTCCTTTATGGTAGACTGGTGGAAGCCTCTACTCACTTCAAGAAAATGAATTGCAAAAAGCACTTAAAGTAATTTCAGACTGTGAGAAACAATATTCTCTGATCTGGTGAAAGGAGATTGAACTCTCTGGCCTCCAATCAAAAAGAGAAATGTCAGATTGAAACCAGGCACTGCTCATCACCTCAACAATGCCGTCCCAACAGAAAAACATGGTTTGGGAGTCTTTTTCCGGCAGCAGGGACTAGAAGACTGTTCAAGGTGGAGGTACAGCTGAACGCTGCAAAATATAGAGAGATCCTTAAAGGATTTTAAGTGGCTTGGGTGCCTATAGTGTTCCTATAATAAAACCTAGTCCAGAGCTCTCACTACAGACGGGCCAAAGGTTAACCTTCCAACAAGATAATGACCTTAAGCAAGCAGCCAAGACAACACAAAAGTGCCTTAGGGACATTCTGTGAATGTCCTTCAGTGGCTCGGCCAAAGCTTGGACCTCTAACCAATCCAACCATCTCTGGAGAGACCTGAAAATTGCTGTCCACCAGTGGTCGCCATCCAACATGACAGCTTGAGAGGATCAGTTATAAAATATATTATTTTTATTCGGGTGCTGACTGAAATTTCAACACAATCCAAAAATGCCATAAGACAAAGAAGAGACTGCTTTATCTCATTGCAATGCCTGATTTAGCAAACATTTGTCCAATCACAGAAGTCGTCATAGGGGAGAGCTATTTGATTCAGGCATGGCCTTGTTCATCACGAGACATTAACTATGCAGGCTCCAATACTATCGCATGATTTTCCCATAGAACTCTGACGTGGGTCCTAGCATATTAAGCACCAGGAGCAGATGTAGCAAGGGACAGCTAACATTGGACTATCACTGGAAAGGTCACCTTCGGGGGTCTTTAAAAAAATATGCAAGAACCACTTGCAGGTATAACTTTATTGTGAGTTTTTCTTGGTTTATATTTAGGACCTGTTGTATCTAAAAAGAGCTTTATAAAATATCACTGCATTAAAAAAACCAAAATGTTTAGGATCCTGTGGCTTTTCATGACAAAACAGCAGATTTCAATAAATGTGTTAAAGATTTAGGTCTCAAATAAATCATTTTAGTGCCAAATTAGTGATTGAGGAATTGAGCACCCAAGGGTTAAATACACTGCTGTAGAATGTATTACACCACTTGTCCCCCACTGTAAACTGATGCAATGCTTTGAAGCTGTGTGCCAACAATCAGGTAGCTTGCACCATTTTATCGCAGTGTCTTCTGAAAAAAAATAAATTCTACAAAGCATTACATTGCTCAGCGCAAGGAGAGATATAGACTGTAAGCTCACGGGCAGGGCCATCTACATTTTGTATCGGTCGGTTTATATTGTTTTCCCAATTGTACAGTGCTGAGGAATATGTTGGCGCTTTATAGATTCCATAAATAAATAAAATATTGTTATGTTAATTCTACAGTCAATGAAGAATCCACACTTCATTTATGCTAAACCACTAAATCATAAATGACATTCGATTTTGGTAGGTTCAAGAAAGCCAAACTACAAATTTCAGAATGAAAAATGTCAACATTTAGTTATGGCAGCTAATCATTGCATAGAAACCTTGTTTTAAAAAAAAAACAAAAAAAAAAACAGCATGCTCTACAATCTACATTTAGAAAAAATAAAATTCATAAGGTTAAGATTAGCTGGTCTACTGTTATGGCAAGTAACCCCTTATGCTAATCTAGCCACTAATACAAATGCAAAATAAGCAAGTCTTTAGCAGTCAGAATATGATACATAGAGATAGGATTGTTAATGTGGTCCTCAACATGTTAAACAGTGCTTTTTTACCTATTTTTAATGTATTACTATGCATGCAGGAGTTAGGAGCTCTATTCTAACCATGAAATGGCTGCAGGAGATGTAACACTGGGTTAGGAACAGGTTTCCAGAAGGGAGTTATTTATACATTGAGCACATAGGTCAATTAAAGCAGGCACTTTCTGCTCGGTATGAAGCGTAAACTCTGTTACGGTAAATACTTTTGGAAAGAGCAAAACGATTAGCAACAGCACTCAATAACATGCTGCTAAAAACTTAAAACAAGAGAAATAAAAAGGAAAATGATATTCAGAAGTGCAAGAGCAAAGACATAGTAATTATAAAATGTTACAAGACAGATTAAAATGCAGAATCACAGCAAGATAGCAACTTTCAGTTTCAGCCTGTTCGAGCTGTTAACCCAATTCCTGCCACAATAGCCTTAACACATACAGATATGCTTCCTTATATACAGTTTAAATAAAAGAGGGGCTCTTATACACTGTTAACCTTACTGATAAAGTAAGTCATAAAACAGAAAACCTTCGTACAAATCTAATCGAGAGTATCACAACGTTCTCAATGAGTTAGACTCTAAGGAGGAGAGGCGGGGGAAGAGGAGGAAATTTTTCTACTGATTCAGGTTTATAGAATGTGGCTCAGGCCCAAACCAGAGACGGGAAATAGACACACCAGACAGACAGGCAGAATGCCAAACCATGATTCCTGGAGAGAACAAACAATGCATATACACATGAAGACAATACAGTGATACTATGGGGCAATGCATTGCACAGTAAGGACAGGAGGGGATGGAAGAGGAGAGGTGTCTCTTTATTTGCAGCATACATTTATCCTCCAGATAACCAAATACCCAATGTAATGCCTCCTACTGCCTAAAATGCAAATCTTTCTAGTTCTTAAAGCAGCAAATCCATACTTTTGCTGGGGTAACAGTCAATCAACGGTTCTTTTGCAGTATGACACATTCCAACCCAAGGTCTGGCAAGCATCAGTGAAATTGTGCCACTGCTAGAGCGTTAGCATTTGTAAACATTCACTACGGGTTTCTCTCTTTTGGAAATCTCTATATTATCACTTTTACACAATTTCCATAATTCTTTGCACTTCCCCTCAAAGAGAGTCCATATTTTAGACTTGTCAAACATGTTGCTATGAAACAGATGAACAGGTTTCACCTGGATTGAGACAATGAATTTCTATACTCCCCCCTTTCCACCTCTAGCACATGCTGTTACTACTCCCCCACCCCCACAGTATCAATTACAAAAAAAAAACAAAAACAAAAAAAACCTCCAGACAGGGCACCTAGGTCTTTAAGAGAATTAAAAAAAAAAATATATATATATATATATATATATATATATATATATATATATATATATATATATATATATATATATATATATACTCTCTCTCTCTCTCTCTCTCTCTATCTCTCGCAGTACAGGAAGGAAGACTCGAAAGAAGAGAAAAACCTATACAACTAACACAAAACCATGACAACAAGAGACATTTAATAAAGTGCATTCACAAAAACTTTAAAATGCAATAATAAATCTGTAGCATGATTCAGCTTTGTTTTGAACAACATGTCTTTTTTTTTTTACAGCTCTAGTTGAATCCAGGCAGATTTTATATCCATAATCTATATACTAGGCCCCCCGCAATCACAACTAGCAAATCAAAGATAGGTAGGGGGGAGAATTTAAACTGCAGAGAATTTTTTTATATAGAAAAAAACCAAAAACAGTTACCGTATATACTCGAGTATAAGCAGAGTTTTTCGGCACATTTTTTGTGCTGAAAAACTCTCACTCGGCTTATACCCGAGTCAATGTCTGTATTATTGCAACTTACATTGCCATAATACAGACCAGGACCGCCGGGCTCATTGCAAGCCCGGCGGTCCTGTTGGGGGCTGGCAGAGAGCTGTAACTTACCTTCCTGCAGCTCCTGTCAGCTCCCTTCTCCTCCGTGCAGCTCCCTTCTGCTCCCAGTGTAAATCTCGCGACACCCGCGGCCGTCAGAGTGTTGCCACGGGTTACCGTGGCATCGCTCCGCGCGGCACACATACCGCGAGGTTTACACTGGGAGCAGAACGGAGCTGACAGGGGAGCTGCATGGTGGAGAAGGGAGCTGACAGCTGCACAGCCCATCCATTGGACCACCAGGGATTCACATAGCCCCCCTGCCTGGCCAGGCAACAAGCAGGGAGGGGGGACAAAAAAATAAAATAAAAATACAAATAAATAAATATTAAAATAAAAAAAATGTAAATAATAAAAATGCCCTCCCCTCACCCAGTTTACACACACTGCATTATATACACACACTACATTCATTATATACACACACTGTAAATAAATATTAAATTAATGTAATTTTATTGGGATCTAATTTTATTTATAAATTTACCAGTAGCTGCTGCATTTCCCACCCTAAGCTTATACTCAAGTCAATAAATTTTCCCATTTTTGGGGGGTAAAATTAGGGGCCTCGGCTTATATTCAGGTCGACTTATACTCTAGTCTATACGGTATTTCACAATATACCCATCACAAAACTGACAAAAAAGGCTGCTAATTTACAGTCTGTAAGCTTACAATCTCCCTTTCTCAAAACATAAGACTGATCCCCCCCTCTCTTTTCTACTAATGTCATCCAAATGGACCTTTGCCAGACAAGTAGATTACAAATAAACCCTTTCGCTTGGGTCATGTATCCAGTAGCTGTCTCATGTCCTGTACCCATCCAAGTGGGACAGGGGGAGAAGTCTGATATTGGGAATAATTAACAGTCAGCAAGTCTTGTACTTTCTCTTGGCCCACATAAACCTGGCACATATTTAAATTCCTTCTCCACAACATTGGTTTGGGCAGCTTTATCACACTTGGTAGTGTGTCCACACTTTTAACCCTTTGGCCAACACACAAAATACACATACATATGTCTTATAAGGGATCATCTTTCTCATATTGAGTGTCCAGATACTGAATTCCCCACCATTTTAAATTTTCATTTATTTACATGCAATGATCAAATGTTTAGGGCCACAGTTGTCTTTTCTAACAGATAACACATAAAATATCCTTATGAAAACAAAACACTGTAAAACAGGACTTCAAATCTCAAGTCCTACACTCCTACAGAGACCTTAAGAGTTACTTGCCACTGCAGGCCTGAGGAATCCCTGGCATATTCACCAGGAGTGAATTTTGTTACTAGCCAATGGGAACTGGCAAGTGGCAATTTTGAGCCCTGCTGTAAAACAAACCTCAGCAAGACAACTTCACATGCCCACACCAAAAAAAAAAAACCAACACACCAATTCCAACATATTAGAAGCGGCTCTAAAAGAAGTGCCACAGAAATAATAAAACTTCACTTTTTATTTGCCATCTAATCCCAACAGCGAAACAAACACTGAAAATACACCAACAGAACAGATTATGCTGGTTTTGAAGCGCATACAACATTCCAAAAGCCAGGGCCTGCGACAATACTTTACATACCCTCAACCCCCCCCCCCAGCCCATCTCTATCCTCAGCTATCAGTGATTCCCCTTCACCAACACGTCTTTCCTGCCATGTAAGCAGCAGACACACACCTCACAGCCTCCCACTAAAAATAACTCCTGCTCTTAGTATTATACACACACACCTCCTGATTATTCTCTTTATGCACTCTAACAAACTCAGTAATGCATTATTTATAAACTTCAAATATTCCTCTCTGTGCTGTGCCCACTTCTCACTCAGTCACACCCTCCCCCTCCAGATTGCCTCCCTCCCCCACTACAGGAAGTAAAAGAAAGAAAAAAAAACAAAAACACATACATATACAACACTGAGCATTATCAGGCTAGGAGAGGGGAAGCCAGGGATATAAACAAGGATCTTGTCACGCAATACCTGCTACTAGGTAGGAGAGTACTACGACAAGAACAAGCATAGTATTAGACATTAAACGCTAAACAAAAGAACAAACTTGACATAAAATACAACTGCATTCAGAGTTAAGAAAATTCTAGGGCAACCAGAAGAAAACGATTACATAAGATAAACTCATTTTCAAACTAGTCAATAAATTTGAGCAATTGAAAGATTGGCTTCCATGCCAGTGTTTACTTTTGTAGGACTGTGTCAATGATCAAGGGGATAATCAACACATCAATAAGTAACTTATTCAAAGCACATTTAAGTCAAACACAGCCCTACACACCGATCAGATGTAGTGTGCACTCTACAGAAAGAAAATTTAAATTAGCTTTAACATTTATGCACAAAACTCCTTTCATGAGGTATACTTAAGGAGTACAAGCAGAGCCATTATCGAAACGTGATAGTTTTGCACAATTTGCCCGCATAACTAATGAGAAAAACGTATGCATCTCTTACAGAAGTTTGGCAGCATTCTGTCTCATTTGCTCACATGCCAAATGTTAGAATATCGTCTCCATCCTAGTTACAGTAGTGCAGAACATGGTTTCACAACAAAGGTACATAAAGCTTTGACAATAAACATATTTGAGCCACAAGAAGGCAGGATATTAGTAAATGTGTAACAATGTCTATGTTTCATTAGTATACCAGCCAATGGTCTGCAAAGAGTTAAAAATAAACAAAGCAATCCGGGCAAATAAGTTACAGTCAGTTATGCTAACCTAGCCTAACCTGCAGTGTCTCCTCACCACCACCCTTTTCCCTTAAAAGTAGCTTTATATAGGAAGTACAGACAAAAGATTTAATGAGTAGAAAAAAAAAAAACAGCTTCCTTAAAATCCTAGTAGTGGAAAGACCTGTGGGATAAGGTTAACATGTGCCATAGAAAATTATTGCAGCACCAGGACCGGTCACTTCCTAGTCAGAGTGCTGCTTAAGAAAGTCAGTCTAAGCACCCAAAAAAAACATTTTTTTGTGTGTGCCCAAATCATGCCTTTACAGGATTTTGATAAACTGATCCATTTGAGAAAATGTATGTTTGTTTTTTACTTCAACCCCTTCAGGACGAAGTCAATAGTACACGTTCTGATCAAAACCAGGAGAGACAGGGCTTTCATTTCTCATGAACTATTCATTTATGAAACATAATTTATTATGAATAAAATTTTAAAAACAGTAGTTCTGCCTGACATTTTAGCTGTAAATGTCATAATACTGTTAGCTTTTAGTATAATAAAATGCACATATTTGTATTCGGCACAGTCTCTCGAGTACAACAGTACCCCCATTAACAGGTTTTACGGTGTTTTGGAAAGTTACAGGGTCAAATATAGCACATTCCATTTTTCTGTTTTTTTACATTGAAATTTGCCAGATTTGTAATGTTACATTTGAGACCGTGTAGTAGCCCAGGAATGAGAATTCCCCCCATGATGGCATACCATTAGCAAAAGTAGACAACCCAAGATATTGCAAGTGAGGTCACAAACACTAAGTGGCTACTAAAAATGACTGGACACACCCCATCTGCAATACCTTGGGTTGTCTACTTTTGCAAATGGTATGCCATCATGGGGGGAATTCTCATGCATTTTCTGCCTGGGTTGTCAGGCACATCAATCAAATTTTAAATTAATAAAAAAATAAAATAAAAAATCCAAATCACATAATTATGTTACTTTAATATACATGTAGAATTTTAATATATACACACACACACATACACACAGACGTATACTTATGTAATCATATATTTTATATATAGAATCATTCTAAGTGTATTTTGTTTTACACACACACACACACACACACACACACACACTAAACAGCAACTTCAATGCTGACAGATTTTTTAATTAATTTTTTTTAAACAGCTACCGTATATACTCGAGTATAAGTCGAGTTTTTCAGCAAATTTTTTTGTGCTGAAAAACCCCCACTCGACTTATACTCGAGTCAATGTCTGTATTATGGCAACTTTCATTGCCATAATACAGACCAGGACCGCCGGGCTCATTACAAGCCCGGCGGTCCTGTTGGGGGCTGGCAGGAAGCGTTTATTTACCTTTCCTGCAGCTCCTATCAGTTCCCTTCTCCTGCGTTCCGGTCTGCTCCCCTATAAATCTCGCAAGAGCCGCGGCGTCAGAGCGTTGCCACGGGTTACCGTGGCAACGCTCCGCGCAGCACGTAGACCGCGAGATTTACAGGGGAGCTGACCGGAATGCAGGAGAAGGGAGCTAACAGGAGCTGCAGGAAAGGTAAGTAACAGCTTGCTGCCAGCCCCCCTCCTGCACAGTACACACCACTGGACCACCAGGGACTAAGATAGCCCCCCTCCCTGACCAGGTAACAAGCAGGGAGGGGGAGGGGGGAGAGGACAAAAAAAATAAAATAATAATAATAAAAATGCCCTCCCCCACACACTCATACAAACACACACTCTGCATTATATATACACACACTCTGTGTGTATATAATGCTGTGTGTGTGTGTATATATATATATATATATAAATGCAGAGTGTGTGTTTGTATGAATGCGTGTATAATAATAATAATAATAATAATAAAAAAAACCCACAGAATTTCATAGCACCAAGTTTTACCCTCGACTTATCCATGAGGCATAGCATATTTCACAATTGTTGGTCACAAAACTGCACTCGACTTATACATGAGATCGACTTATACACGAGGTAATCTAGGCAAAAATAATGGGGGTTTAGTAACATTATATGATCATATATTGCATAAGCCTGCCACAACGTCAATGTACCCCATCTTTGGCAGGTCCTACTCTAACAGCCTAATGTCTGCTCTTATGAGATTAACCCACATGGCCACCAGGGGCCTGACTTGCCACGGGAGGGCTGCCTGTGCTGACAGGCAGGACTCCTGAAAAGGATCGCAGCGGAGGTAAGTACCGCGAAGCACCTGGGGGCTTAAGCCGTTACAGCGTTCTATGCTGCCGCATTGGCTTTAAAGCCCATTATAATGGGGATGGCGTATAACACCGTAACTGCGTTAAGGGGTTAAGCTGTGCACCCAGTGGTTTGTCATGACAACTATACTAGGTATGCAGACACACACTATATTAAAACACACTTTTTTTATACCAGATGCTGGGAAAACATCTGGGGAGATGTAGTCCACAAGATCTGGAGTGCAGAAAGTTGCCCACCTATAGTCTAGTGCCCAAAAGGTAGATCCACAAATGTTTACAGAACTACAACTCCAAAGATGTTTTGCATGCCTTTAGAATGACAAAGCATCACAGATGCTGTAGTTTTAAAACATCTAGGGATCTACCTTTTGGGCACCTCTGGACTAGATGATTCCTTTAAAGGGACACTCCAGGTACCCAGACCACTTCTGCCCATTGGGGTAGTCTGCTTGCCAACTCCCATCACCCTTAACCCTGCAAGTGTAATTATTGCATTTTTTTTTATAAAACTGCAATAATTACCTTGCAGGGTTAAGTCCTCCTCTAGTGGCTGTCTATTACAGGAAAAGTGTTTAAACTATGCTGGACGTCCTCACACTATGCATGAGGAACTCCAGCGTCGCCGGAATCCCCATAGCAAAGCACTGAATAATGCTTTCCTATGGGGAGGTCTAATGCCTGTGCGGCAACTGCCGCGCATGCAAATTAGGACTCCCCCGCTGGCTGATGTCTGAGGGGAAGGAGCGTGGACGGAGCCTGACCCAGCGCCAAGGGACATCGGCGCTGGATTCAGCTAAGTCACTGAAGGGGTTTTAACCCCTTCAGCAACATAGGATGGGGGGGCACTGCAGGAACGTGCAGTGCCAGGAAAACTGATATGTTTTACTGGCACTGGAGAGTCCCTTTAAGCACTCCAAACATGCCTCACTTCGGATAAAAGCAATTCAGGCTTAAAAAACATTAACTGAAATTCCAAAATGTCTGTCAATTTATGATCATTGTTTAATATAAGCAGAAGTGTGTGTGTGTGTGTTCATATCTGAATAAACATATCAACCTCCTGGCTCATCTGCCTCCTTTTCCATCTGGACTACATCTGCTACCATCCCAGATGTCCAATTTCCTCATACCACAATCATTTATGTACTAAACTCCAACAAGAGCAACAAAGACCAGTTTTTACTACTGCTCAGGGACCTTGGGCATTTTGGGAGGGAGAGATAATAAGGATGAGGAATTAAGGGGGAGGTGCAGCTCAAGACCAATATGGGAAGCCCAAAAAGGTAGTAAACAGGCTTAAACAAGAAGACAGTGATCAAATAATTGAGGGGGGAGGGGGTAAGAACTGCTGCAAGTAGTGGTCTCCTGTCCACATTCCTTGGGAATATAAAGTGTTTTTCCTTTATTGGTAACACATCCTCAAAAAAAAAATAAAAAAAAATAAAGTATATATACATACATACATATAGTTACATACAAAGCTGAAAAGAGACTTGCGTCCATCAAGTTCAGCCTACCACAGTGTGTAGATTGGATTAAAAGCAAACACACACACACACACACACACACACACACACACACACACATTTAAAATAAGCATATGACCATTCTCAGTTTCCATTCCAAACACTGATCAGCCAAAGAAAGAGCCTTGCCACCAGGGTAGGTTTCAAAATTTCCATGTCATGTTCTCTCCAGGCTGCAGTGGCATGTAAATATTAATTTTGTAGGACTTGAAATTTTAAACCCTGCACCAGGGCATGCAGAAAACAAAACAAAAAACCTCACCTGCTTAAACTGCTCCTCGTATGTCCAGTCACCATGATCCTGCATTTGAGGATGTGCAGTTTGTGGGAGTCCTAAACGTTCTGCTCCCACAGCTGGGCGCTGGCTTTGAAAACCTTGCTGAGCATGGTGCTTCGAAGGCAGTGTCAAGTCTTTGCCTGTTCGGTCTCCCTCACCAACCCCTACACCCCCATCTTCCATATCCTCATAGTCATCTTCCTCCCCTTCTTCCTCTTCAAAATCATCCTCATCCCACCTTTGCTTCCTGAAAAATAGTGAAGTAAAAGGGAAAGAGGAGACAATGTTAACACAAATCACATTTATTAGAATGTTCTATACAGTTCATTAACAGATTATGGAAAGTCTATGCACTATTAACATGTTTCTAAAACAAAAAACACATTATATGTATATTCTTGTTCCAAGCATCAAGTTTATGATTTATACTTTTAAATCTGATCTAAGAGCAACCAAAAGACTAAATAATTTAATCTAAACTAGAAAGTGAGCAAGAACTACAGAAAGTTTTAGAAATTGGGTTTACACACTATATAAAATTCTATGTGGTAAAAATGGCCTCTGTCAAGTCATGGAAATTGCATCAGCAAGCAAACATTGCGTGCATACCATAGTGATTTGGCACAGACAGTGAGAATTGAAACTCTGCCACTTCAAACTACTCCTTATCTGCCTGAGGTTTCTAACCGCCTATGACTGGCTGCCAACATTTGCAGGCCCGTTGCCAGCTTCTGCTCAGCACACTCATACACAATTTCTCCAGGTCATTCAAAGGGCAAACAGAATGTGATTCAGATGATCTATTTCTTCCTATTTTTACTATCAAATTATAATTAAATTAAAAAACACATACAGTTAGCCACTCACACAAATGTGGTAGCAATTAGCTAGCCACTCTCACCATCCTACCTATGACAATCATGCATAAATACCAGACAATGACACAGACATACAGACACACAATCCCTTACAGTCAGGAGGGAGAGGAGATTCCCTTGGAATCTAGTAGAGAAATGAGTGAGTAATGGGGTAGCATTGACCATTTATTCGAACACCTTTGCACTCTCGATTGCTGTATTTAGACATCACACAACTGTAGGATGTGATGTCACATCATTTGCTCCCAGTTCCATCAGTTATGATGCTGTGTGAAAGGCCAAGGGCAATTAAAGTGAGGGAGATAGAACTAAAACTTTCATGATATGCTGCCATTCTTGAGTTGTAGTTCTGCAATCTGCATGTTCACTTGATTTGGACAACAGTAAACACGACTCTGCAGGTTAAACAGTTTAGCCCAGATATTCCTAATTGGATTATTAGTTTCTTCTGCAATATTGCCCAGCAGACAATATGAAACATCTATATAAGATACTTTTAATCTCCCCAGTCTCAAACTCTGGGTGACACTCGAAATTTAGGATGTAGATTATTTTTTTACCCTAAACCTTGATTTAGTGTAAAGAAAAAAAAAAAAAAAACCTGCATCTTATATTCCAAAAAACATGATCAATAAACTCCCAATGAAAATTCAAGACCTAAGGAAGGTAAACGTGCAGATATTTTGAACACAGAAATGTTACACCTGTTAAAAGTTAATCTTCAATGGCCTAAGATAGTTAATGCGAATAGTGCAGCATTTACAGAATTAGGAGACAATTCAAGTGTCGAGCATCAGCTCACATATTCCGCAATATTACAGTACAGCATTGAGTACCCCTTTCAAAATCTCAGAAGTGAACTCACAATTCCTCCTCCTCAGATCTCATGTCATCGTAAGGATCACTTTCTCCATCCCTCTCTCTCTCCTCATTTTCTGAAACCATGCTTTCCCCATCATCATCATCTTCCTCAGAGGCAACTGGGCTTGGTTGTTGGCTGAGTCCAGCAGCAACTGCCCTCATGGCTGCCAGAGCTGCTGCTTGTGCACGCTGGATTTTCAAGGCCTCTGGTTCAGACTCATCTGTTCCATTACCAGGGGGTGTACGTGCACCCACTGAATCCTGCTGAAGCTGTCGGGCTTCCATCTCCTGTTGCAACCGTGCCCGCTGCTGGCGCTGAAGCGTCTCCATCACCGCCTGCAGCTTCATGGCGCGATGGGGCGGGCGAAGACCACGAGCTGCTTCCTCCACCTTCTGAGGGAGTCTCAAACTCACTTGAAGATATGTATGAAGTTTATGGGAATGGGGCAGTCACAGAGCAGTTGAAGGATCAGTGTGCTTGGTTCTGGATTCCTGACATGACATAGTCCTTGAAGGTGTTCTGAGAAGGACTGCAGTATTTGATGTGGATAACAACGCACCATAAGACTCCACCAAAGAATCCTGTGAGTTAAAAAAAAAAAAAAAAAATCAAAAAAAGATACATGAAGACTTGGCTTTTGTTGCACACCAATAAAATGCATATACACACACACACACACACATATATTGCAAATTGTCTATCAACTTCCATTATTGGTTTACAGATAAAGTAAATATTTCACTATGGGTGTGAGGAAGGGAGGAGTGAGTTGTAGAAAGAAAAAGAAAATAAGTCACATGAGATTGCATTAAAGACTTATACAAGGCTCAGTTATAGGGTGGCAATATTTGATGGAAACAAACTGATAAAGGCCCCATTGTTGAAGTCTGACTGTGAATAGCATACAAGTTGTCCTAAACAAGTCATTAATCCAAAAAGTAAGGCAGTAATCCAAAAAGTGTAAAAAGAAGGGAAAATGCTTAAAAAAATTTTTTTTAAAAAACAAATCCACAAAATAGCATTGTGAGATTGTTAATTTTCCATGTGCCAAAATTATGTTAAGCAATTATAGAAGGTAAATCTATTTTTTTCAACACACACAAAGATAAAAGGGTGCATATTTTAACAAAAATAGTTTCAATATATATTACTTTGCAAAATGCGATATATATATATATATATATATATATATATATATATAAATAAAAATTTGGAGAGAAAAAAAAAATAATTACTACAACATTGAAGTATTTAAAAAAAAATAATTGGTTTTTACTGTGCCAAATTTTTTAAAACATGAGGATGGTATTCATGAGTAAACCCCACCCTCCCATCCTGTTGGGAGTGTATGCAGTTTCCTAGAGAAAAGACAGCAAATGTGTGAACAACACAGCAGCAATACAGTAGTAACCCTTTCAATCCAATCCAATGTAAATAGTAGCATGATTTTTAAAAAGCTAGTTAAAGACCACCATTTGTTACCACAATAAACTGCAATGTATTTGTTGAAATCCTACTTAAATAGAAAAGGATTTAAATATCAGTTGAAATAAAAAAAATTAAAAAAAAAAAGTATACCAGGCAAAAATTATATCCCAATACAGGAATCACTCTCTGTGAACCCCGGAAACCATTGTGTGCAATGATCTCCAGCCCCCTCCCCCAAATGCCCCGTATCCACACTGACCAGCAAAAGTAGATCCGGGCGTTGGGTGTATGAGGAGAGAGAACACAAACAAACAAACAAACACACACACACACACACACACACACTGGGTGTGCAAAGATTAAACAAATACAACTGGATGCTGAGTGGGAGGCCTAGGGGGGGAAATTAATGGAGGGAGGTGCTGTATCACCCCTCCTCTCCCCATGGACATTAGCTCTTAATTATCTAAGCAGATAGGCTGGATTAACCAACTGTGTGCTACAGTACTTAGCATGACACTGCAAAGCAATATAGCACCGCGCCCCTGCATTTGAGGCTTCATATAACTTGGCCACTACAAAACACGGATCTATGGGACATTGTGTAGAAAAAGAAAAAAAATGAACTGAACTTTAAGGCTCTAAAAAACTGACAGTCTATATAGTAACATAAAAGCACAAAAAAATACATACTTTAAGGAAAATATCCAGTGTTACATAACAAAAGGAATGCAACAAATAAATGCCAATCCTCACTTTAAAATTCACAAATAGAATGGAACGTTGAATATCAGTACATTGTGCAACAGACAACCACAATCATTCTACTACAAATAACAGATGGAATAACAAATAGAGAGAGGAATCCAGCCCCAAAGCAATAGTTGTAGTTTGTAGAAGTCGGGGGTGGGGGGGACTACCAAGCTGAAACTATTGAATTGTAAAGAAAGGTAATGTTTTGCAGCCAGAGGCAAAATGGGTGGTCCTTGAACGGGTTAACACAGCAGCTGAGCCGCCCCCTTTTCAGCTCCTGTAGACATCCAGGGGTGGAGGATAAAAAACACATTCAAGGGGATAAGGGACACTCCCCAAAGTGTGTCTGAACACAGGGTCAGTGCTCCATGACACAAAGGAAGGTTTATGTAGAGAAAGAAGCACTATTTGGATTGAAATAATACTAAAACAAAGATGAGCACACAGGAGAACTAAATTTAAACCATGCACCTTTAGATTATTTAGGCAGTGTTATTTTCAAAAGGATGTTTATACTAAAATATATAAACACAAGTTTAAATATTCCTATACTATTTTGTGTTTTTCAAAATAATGTCTATAATAAAATTTATAAACACTAGTTCATGAAGGCTGCCATTTCGTACAGTGTCACAGAAGCAGCATTAATGGTAGATAACATTATAACTTCCTTTTGATACAGTGCTTGCCAACTGCCTAAGGGTGACAGAATTGTGGGAGTTGTATGGAACAAGGGACAATAATTGCTACAGGTACAGTTAATGCTTTAACCTAGGAATTAACAAAAGGTAGATCCCCAGCTGTTGTACAACTACAATTACCATGATGCTTTGCCTGCTCTGGGTCTATATTTCACTCACCCTGGGTTACCCCTTCATGACTTATGACTTGCCAATTAGTGACTGCATGGGCATTTTTCAGAATGTGTTATCAACATATCATCCCATGTTAAAAACAAATCTATATTTAAAAAAAATAAAAATAATCATAAAAAACAGATTTTATTTTCTAGACCCTTGTTATGAATGGGTTACAACATTCACAGCTCTGTTGAAGGCATTCAAGCCATATCAAGTCAACCAATAACAGGCGTTTGCTAACCATACCCCTCTTGAGTAAAATCTCTATAACTTCCCTTTTATGTAACTTAGGCCACTCAGAGGTTTCTTTAGGCAATAATGTGTTCACAGATTAACAAAAATGAGCAGTTGATTCTAAAAAGTTTGCTATCATAACACTATAATGTCACATTAAAAAGACTTCTGCAGAGCTGTAATGACATGGAGTGTCATAGTGTACAAGATGTTGGTTTTGAGAAGTATGAAGACATTTATGGTTGCATGGTTTCACAGGCCACAGCATCTTGTAGGCAGGTACCCTACCCTAACCACCCTCTTTTTAAATGAACACTATAGTGACAGGAATACAAACATGTATTCCTGTCACTATAGCAGTGAAAACATCATTTAGGCCCCTGCTCACCTTGTAAACAATGTAAAAGGTAATTTTACTCATCTTTATTCGAGCACCGCCTCCTTGGATGAGATCATCAAAACTGACTATTTCAGACAATTAAAAATCTTTCCAAGTTTCCATAGTTTTCTTCTAAAGATTTCTGCTTAAGGTGGTCAAATGCTGCCACATTGTTATAAGCAACGCCAAAGTTTAACACGCAGAATTTCCTCAGCCATGTTTAAATGTATATTTCTGCAAGCCTGCACAGACAATTAGTGACTATGGCTTTAAATCAGATGAGCAAAAGGTAGATCTCCAGATGTTGTAAAATGTCAACTGCCATCGTGGAAGTTACACTTCTACATTTGGGGACTTACCATTTCATAATAAGGACATAAACCCAATGAGCTTGCAAGAACGAGGACTTTTTGTTTTGGGTGTTAGATGTACACACTGGCCCTCTAATTTTTAACCTATGTTTCCAAAACTAGTAAAAAGGGCTTGCCAAGATCTTAACACTTTGTAAAATAAATAAATTAAAAGATAATGCTTCAGCACAACCAAATGTGAAACAGAAACAAATATTTGGATTTCTTTTTAAGAAATAAACACTTTCCAGTACAGTACAAACGGGGGAAATGGTCACAGAAACAAATGACAGTGTGACTATACCACCATAATTTCAGGTTCCTACAAAAGAGTTTTCTTGAGAGGTTGCAATATATTTAATAGCTAGAACATATTCCAAATAAAGGGACCTCCAAAGAAAGGGTGGCATAATTTCACGAAACATAAGCCCACGCGATCAAGGATTATACTGCTCTAAAAGTAGATCATGGTACAAGTCGTAGCAGAATGGGTACCAACAAGAAAGACACATCTTGTACCAATATTTATGTATGCATAGGAAACTGGGGGTTTAGTGGTATAATACAGGTTTGGCTGCCAGTAAACTCTTGAAATACTTCCCAATATAAAATTCTACTACAGTTATGTACCCAGGGCAACGTGACCACATTAAGTTACTGCAGCTATGTATATAAGGCAACAGTGACCACATTAAGTTACAGTAACTACAGGCCAAAATTCTAAATCTGGAGCAAAAAGCAGAAACATTCAATTGGTTTAGACATGCCTGCTCAACATGTACCACTTTGTCCAGGATTTGCTCCACTTTTGCTTTGCTAAATAAGGACAGTAGTATATATTACCAACAGTTAGCCACTCGACATCTATTTTTAGTAATGACCACTTACTATGGCAAAGCACTGTAATTAGGACTGCCAGGTCCACTATGTTCTTTAACACATGTTCGACACTATGTGAATGTTGCATGAAAACAAAAATGTTGTAAAAGGTCCCAAATGAGCTACTTTGGTTGTATATTGATTTATTTATTTTCAGCACTTGAATTATACATACTACTAATAAGGGAACATTTTTTTTCACCATATACTGCTCTAGAGCAAGGAGAGATCGTGTGTAACTGGAAACCTGGTGGCTTTGGCAAACCCCAATAATTATATGTATTGCTAGTACAGATCGGTAATAAGGACATGGACATACAAATAAAAGGTCAGGTCTGGCAGGCAACAATAATGGCTGGTGGAAGCCAGAATTAAAAACGTGCAGTACAGTGACTCGGAAGAGCCCTATAATCATTCTAAAAGTATCAATACTAGAGTACTGAGAGTACTCACCCCTCCCCCACATTACTACTTCCAGTTCCCCTCGACAACTTAAGCCAGCCCGTCTCCCACACACCTGCTGGGTACATTCCCACAAGCCATAAATAGCCCCCCATTACTTTATACTCAGTTCCCAGGCTCGCTGCGGCCTACTAGCCTCTCACCCACAGTACCTCTTCCACCACTGACCCCCCAATAAGTAGCCATGTCCCTCACCCACTTCACACCAACCCCAAGCGCACTGTCACCCCCATATAACGCCATTTAGGGGCCCCCGTGCAGCACCCCTAACTGGGACTCCCAGATTCCCCTTGTCTCGTTGTCCCCAGTACCCCTTGACGACCCCCCTCTCTTACCCCCACTCTTCGCAGCTTTTTCTCGGAGGAGAAACTTGGGATCTGAGCGAAAAGGCTGGGCGAGGACAAGAGGGGATACCTGATTGGCCACAATCCAGGGAGGGTCGGCAAACTACCAACTTCACTGTACATGGGAAAAGATTGTAAATTTATTGACCTCGCCGCAACAAGGGAGAGAGTGCAAACTGCCTGCGCGTGTGATGTAGTAAGGGACAATCTGCCAACTACCACGACTAATTATACAGGATGAGCCAAACATCTGCACACTGCTGGGCTCATTACGCAAGGGAGAGTCTGCAATTTAATGACACAGTGACTAAAAGGACACGATTGTAATAGAGCAGCTTTATTAATGAAGAAACATGCCACAGACTAGAAATGATAAATACAATTAAAATAAACGCTCTTCTGCTCATCTGAAGTACCTCCCATGCTCCTCTGACATTCTTCTACCACTGTCTTATCAACATGCTTACTTAAATATATTTATGTCAGCTTGTCACATAATGTGTATTATGGCAAAATAATGCCACCAAAGGGTTTTGGAATATTAAACAATGAGAATGAAGTTTCAGTATTTAATAGAACCCCAAAATGAGAATATCCCTTATACACAGTTATCTGTTATATTACATATAAAACGCCTCACTCATCAGTTGGCTTGGTAATGCAGAATTTAGGCACCTGTACTATTAATGTCGATTTCACCCAACCTGATTGGTGGCCACAAGCTGATACAGTTTGGCTACACCAATAATGTGAAATGTAAAGCGCTGTGGAATTTGTTGGCACTATATAAATAAAAACATAATAATAATAGTGTAAATTCTGCGTTATCAAGGTGGCAGAGGATGAGATGGTTTCTAGGTGCCGTGGAGGGCCCCTTTGTTTTTAAAGGTGTTATGGGGTAGTCGTCTTTAGAGTTACAAAGTTGTTAAATGAATACTAAAGTGTCAGAAACACAAACATGTATTCCGGATACTATAGTGGTAAAAGCACTCTTTAGGTACCGAACCCCCTTGCCTTCCTTTGATAAGATATTTTCACTTTCTTTTTTTTTTATTCAGTGACACGCTGGTCTCGCCATGGCTGACTTTATGTAGCTCTGTTTCGGTGGAGATCATCAAAATTGATGAAGTCGGCATTGAAGGAAAAGCTTTAGGAAGTTATAGGAAAGTATTAGGAGGCTGTTGCATATGCACAGAAAAATGCTTTGCTGTGACAGTCAGCATCTCCTCATAGAGATGCATTGAATCAATGCATCTCTATGTGGAACATTTAGGACTGACCCAGGAAGCTCCTCTTGTGGCCGACTGCGTGATTACTATGCAATACTAGGCAATAATGTAAACAGTTTACAATAAAAGGCCTGCATGGACAAGCTATAAACACCAGAATAACTACATCAAGCTGTAGTTGTCCTGGTGACTATAGTGTCCCTTTAAGGTTTTAGATGTTTAGTGTTAAAAAGTGTTTAAATGTCCTTACATTAAGAAGGTTTTTAGAATTTGTAGCCGTTTGAGGTTATAGAGTGCTTATACCTCCTTTCCATAAAGCCTCCTTAACTTTAATCTAGCCTAACAATAATAAAAAACTTACCATAAAGAAAGTTGCAATGGTATAATTTCAATTTTAATTATAGGGCACATTTCATCTCTACCACTACAGTCAGAATGGAGTTGGTGGCTGGACTATATTAGGCAACTATCTAAGTGATGATGATGATGATAATAATCACAAATAACCCCAGAAATTTATACAAGGGACTGTACACTCCACCAAAACACTCTTCACATTTGTTTGAAGCCCAACATTTATTTTTACTAATGCTGAAATCATTTACCAAGGTTGGAATGTTCATCTGAAATGTCCTGAAATATATATGCAGAACTTGGTAAGTTAGCTGCAAAGAATTTTACTATAAGGAATGTGTTAGGGTCCTATGAGTACACAGCACTTTGCATATTAGGGTTTGCGCCTAAAGAAAATTACCATGTAAACTTTATTTTAAAAATACTGTTTTAAAAATAGGTACAACATACACATTTTTACTATAGCGGTAACTAAGTGTATAAAAATAGTATTTTCCGGGGTAATCATGGCAGCATCACTTATGGATAACTCCTCCCTTAGCAGTCACAAGACAGGAATTAATTAGATTAATTAAAGGACCACTATAGTGCCAGGAAAACATACTCGTTTTCCTGGCACTATAGTGCCCTGAGGGTGCCCCCACCCTCAGGGTCCCCCTCCCGCCCGGCTCTGGAAAGGGGAAAGGGGTTTAAACTTACCTTTTTCCAGCGCTGGGCGGAGAGCTCTCCTCCTTCTCTCCTCCTCCGATCCTCCCCGCCGGCTAAATGCGCATGCGCGGCAAGAGCTGCGCGCGCATTCAGCCAGTCGCATAGGAAAGCATTTACATTGCTCTCCTATGGACGCTGGCGTGCTCTCACTGTGAAAATCACAGTGAGAAGCACGCAAGCGCCTCTAATGGCTGTCAATGAGACAGCCACTAGAGGGAATGGGGGAAGGCTTAACCCATTCATAAACATAGCAGTTTCTCTGAAACTGCTATGTTTATAAAAAAATGGGTTAACCCTAGAAGGACCAGGCACCCAGACCACTTCATTAAGCTGAAGTGGTCTGGGTGCCTAGAGTGGTCCTTTAAAGGGACACTCCAGGCACCCAGACCACGTCTGCCCACTGGAGTGGTCTGGATGCCAACTCCCAATACCCTTAACCCTGCAAGTGTAATTATTGCAGTTTTCATAAACTGCAATATTTACCTTGCAGGGTTAAGTCCTCCTCTAGTGGCTGTCTACTAGAGAGCCACTAGAGGAGACTTCCGTATTCATAGAACACGAAACGTGGTTTAAAACGACGCTGGACGTCCTCACGCTATGTGAGGACCTCCAGCGTCGCCAAAATACCCACAGGAAAGCATTGTATGATGCTTTCCTATGGGGAGGTCTAATGCGTGTGCACGGCCATTGCCACGCATGTGCATTATGTCTCCCCCGCCGGCTGACGTCAGCAGGGGAGGAGCGTAGGCAGAGCCTGACCCAGCGCTGGACTCCGGTTAGTCACTGAAGGCAGGGCCGGATTAACATAGGGGCTGATGGAGCTGCAGCTCCAGGCCCAGGCCCATGGAATAGGCCCATTAAAAAAAAAAAAAAATAATAATTTTTATTTTTTTTTAATTTTTTTTTTACACACTACTCTTAGGTTTGCCACCTGACTGGTATTTTAATGACACAGACTGTATTTGAGGCTGCCTGGCCATGCCGGTATTGCAGTAATACCAGCAATACAAATGCAGGTAATTTTCTCAGAATAAATGGAAATTACTCTGCAATACCAGCACCGGCCAGTAGGGGTCACTGTGTATGGAGAGAGGCAGGGATAGGAAGTTACAGAATATCCCTGCCTCTCTCTACTACTCACTGATCCGTGGGGGAGCAGCTACACAACACAGAGAGTCCAGACAGGAGCTCTACAGCTCAGGTAAGTGAGGGATGGGGGGGGGGGAGAAAGGCAGCAGGGACACATAGGGACACTGAGACACTAGGGGACACAGACACTGGGGGACACTAGGGGACACATGGGGACACTGAGACACTAGGAGACACAGACACTAGGGGACACATGATGACACATACGCTAGGGGACACAGACACTAGGGGACACATGATGACACATACGCTAGGGGACACTGAGACACTAGGACAAAGACACTGGGAGACCTGGGAACACTGAGACACCTGGGGACACTGAGACACTTGGGGACATATGGTGACACAGACACTAGGGGACACAGACACTAGGGGACACATGGGGACACTGTCACTAGGGGACACTGAGACACTAGGACACATGGGGACACAGACACTGGGAGACCTGGGGACACTGAGACACTTGGGGACACTGGAAAACATGGGGACACTGAGACACTAGGGGACACTGGGACACATGGGAATGCTGAGACACATGGGGATGCTGTGAGACATAGGGACATTGGGAGACATTGGGACATGGAGACACTATGTCCCCCAGCCAGTGTCCCTAGTGTCTCAGTGTCCCCAAGTCTTCCAGTGTCTGTTTCCCATGTCTCTCAGTGTGCCTGGTGTTCCCATGTCTCCCAGTGTCCCTATATGTCCCAGTGTCCACATGTCTATGTCCACAACTGTCCCCATGTCTCCCAGTGTCCCCAAATGTCTGTCTTCCAGCCAGTGTCCCCTAGTCTCCCAGTGTCCCCTAATCTCCCAGTGTCTGTGTTCCCATGTCTGTGTCCCTAGTGTCTTAGTGTCCCCATGTCTCCCAGTGTCTGTGTCCCTAGTGTCTCAGTGTCCCCATTTCTCCCAGTTTCCCTAAATGTCTGTGTCCCCATGTCTCCCAGTGTCCCCGGGTCTCTGTGTCACCAGTATCCTAGTGACATGGGGACACACTGAGACATTGGGACACTGGGAGAAATGGGGACACAGACACTGGGAGACTAGGGGACTGGGCGACATGGGGACACTGACACTGATACATAGGGACACTGAGACACTGGGTGACTTGCGAGACTGAGACACTGGGAGACAGGGAGACACTGGGAGCAATCCATCTATAAGGCAGAATCAAACTGTGAGTAGTTTGGTGATTTTACAGAATTTTCTCTGATGTCACTCCTTGTGATTTACATCATGTGATGTCACGCATAACTAATTAATTATACAAATGATTAAGGCTGGTATTTTTTCCAAGAAAGGTGGCAACCTTAACTACTCTTCACATACTCTTGCTTAAAGGAGCACTATAGGGTCAGGAACACAATCATGTATTTCTGACCCTATTATGTTAAAACCACCACCCATTCTTGCCCCTTCTTGCCTCCCTAAATATAGTAAAATATTACTTGTATTCAATTCTGCAGCTGCTGGCTCAAAGTGGTGGTCTGAGCAAATTATAATACTTCCCCATAGGATTGGCTGAGACTGTCAACTAGGCAGATCAGGGGCAGAGCCAGCACAAGTCCAACATAGCCCTGGCCAATCAGCATCTCCTCATAAAGATAAATTGAATCAATGCATCTCTATGAGGAAAGTTCAGTATCTGCATGCAGAGGGTGGAGACACTGAATGGCAGTGCTGCACACTAGGCAGTACTGCCCCAGGAAGCACCTCTAGCAGCCATCTAAGGACCAGCCAGTGGAGTTATTTTCTCTGAAAAG